GGTCGCCCAAATTCCTTTGGCAGGCCGCAGGTTGTGCAGGCCTGCTCTAAAGGCAGTGTCTGAACTTGCTTCTCTGTGCTACAATTCAGAAAACACGACGACTGCTTTTATATTTCACAAATATCATAGGGCAGTGTGGGTTTATAACCCGAGTCAACCAATCAATCCATGGGCATTCATTAAGTGCCTTCTACGTGTCAGGCACTGTGCTAAGCACTGGGGATACAAAAAGAGGCAAAAGACAGTAAGCAAAAGTGTACAATCTAACCGAGGATACAATATGTAAACAAACATATGCAAAGCAAGCTATATACAGGATAAGTAGTAAATAATTAGCGAAAGAAAGATACTAGAATTAAGAGGGGTTGGGGAAGGCTTCTAGTAAAAGGTGGGTTTTTAGTCTGGACTTAAAGGAAGCAAGGGAGGTCAGGAGTCAGCGCAGAAGAGGAAGAGCATTGCAAGCATGGGAGACAGCCAGAGAAAATGCATTCATATTCTCAGAAAGAAAAAAGCCTTTCCCAATCCTCCTTAATGCTTGAGTCTTCTCTCTATTGATTACCTCTCAATTATCCTTTTCTCTATCTTGTTTGTATGTAGTGGTTGGTATGTTGTCTCTCTCATTGGACTATGAGCTCGTGGGGAACTGGGCCTTTCTTTATACCCGCAGTGCTTAGCACAGTGCCTGGCACATAGTAGGTGCTGAATAAATGCTTGTTGATTACTGTACTGATTTGACAATCCAAACAGTATTTATTGATTTTTTGGGGGGAGCAATTGGGGTTAAGTGACTTGCCCAGGGTCACACAGCTAGTTAAGTGTCAAGTGATTGGTCTGAGGCTGGATTTGAACTCAGGTTCTCCTGACTTCAGGGCCGGTGCTCTACCCACTGCGCCACCTAGCTGCCCCCCAAACAGTATTTATTAAGTACCTGTTACATACAAGGCATTTGTCCTAGGGGTATAAGATCACACACACACACACACACACACACACACACACACACACTTTCAGTGCTTACATTCTACTGGGAAGATAAAACCTATACATGGATAAGTACACTAGAGAGAACACTTCACTGGGGAGATAGGAAAGAATTCCTCTAAGTGGAATGTAAGCAGGCAAGCTATACCTTGGAGGAAACTGGGGATTTTAAGAAGTAGGAGCAGCAACGTGCTCGTGAATGTTTAATAACTGGCTCTCCGGAGGGAAAAAATGTACTTGTGATAACACTTTTTAGTTTAATCTGCATTAACATTTTCTCCATCACTTTCTTAAGTCCAGACGATCAACAAAACAATTGACCAAGACCTGATGTGTAGCATTTGCCAATTTCCAAGGTGTAAGTGATCGCACTGAAAATCAGCTCTCCTAGCATAGTCCCTTTAGATTCAAAATGCAAAATTATAGACGAGGCTCTTGCATATTCTTATCATCAGCCATGTTCTTCACATTTAAGTAATTTCTCCCACTCTGTGCAAGATAGCAGCGTTTGATTCCTTGCCAGATTTCTCTCCAAAATGGCTTCATCCTTTCTTTCATTGCTGGCAATACTAGCTGTTTTTCAATGAGTTGAAGCCTCTCTGTCTTGGCTATCAGAATATTCCAGCCTCATTATACATTATTCCCCTTCATACACTCTCTGGTCCAACCAAAATGGCCTTCTTGCTTTACCTCACACATGACACACTACATAGGCATGGTTATGTCTTTGCACAAGAGCGTTTATTAAGCACTTGCTATTGGGGAGGAATTGTACTGTGTGCTAGAGACATGAGTGGAAGCAAAAAGAAAGACATTCCCTGCCCTCAAGGAGTTTATAGTCTAATGAGAGAAGACAACACATAAAAAGGAATTAAAAAGCTGAGCAAGGGTAGGGCTCTAGAGAAAGCAATTTAAAAGTTTGGATGGTAAGAAGCAAGAGGAAAGAAACTTGGCTGTCCTGGGCCCTTCCTCAAACTAGAGGTTCTGGAAGGGAGCTCACCAATAGAAGGACCCAAGGAGCAGAGAGATGCTCCAAGTTAAGGAAGACAAATATTCACCTCCCTTCCATCCCCACCGGAAGCATAGACTGACAGTGGGGATTCCTGTAGGGTAGAAGGAGGGGTGTGCTGGAGCCAGCTCAAATAGGCACTTGGAAACAACTATTGAATTTTCAATGCGAGCATTTACACCCAGAAAATCAGCAAACAAATCAGGACTTGATTTAGTATTTTGTTGATTGTCTAGATTTAAGAGAGTGTTGGAGAAAATATTAACAATGCAGATTAAACATAAAAAATGTGTGTAAGGAAAACACCCGTCTCCCAGATCTGGTTGTTAAATATTTACCAGCACACTCCTGGGTGTAGGTTAGCCTAGATGGCCTAAATGACTGAGGTCCTTTCAAACTCTAAAAATTCTATGATTCTATGATTATCTCATGTACATCCACCCCAACCCTACTCCCTTTGAACTTCTTACCCATTTTATAAAATTGTATACTCTTTAACAAATCTCTCTTCATAGTTATTCCTCTGAAGTTTCTTCTATCCTCTGGTACTCATAGAAACTTGATTCCTCCCCAAGACACAGTCCCTCCTTCACCCCATCCCACCTCTGCCACTAGATATAATGTGGCTCAGTGGAAAGAGTCCCAGGCTCATAGTTAGGAAGACCTGAGATCAAATTTGGTCTCAGACACTTACTAGCTATGTGACCCTGGGCATGTCACTTGACCCTGTTTGCCTCAGTTTCCTCATCTGTAAATTGAGAAGTAATAATAGCACACATCTCCCAGGGTTGCTGTGAAAATCAAATGAAATAATAATTGTAAAGTACCTTTTGCCTAGACTATTATAATGACTTTTTCATTGGTCTTCCTTCCTGTTTCTAGGCTTTCTCTTCTCCAATCCATCCTCCCCATGTAGCTGCCAAATTAATATGCCTAAAGAAGAGGTGTTAGCCATGCCACCCTCCCCTGATCAAGAAGTGACCCCCTATTGCCTCTAGGATGAAGCACAAACTCATTTGTTTAGATTTAGAGTCCTTTGCAATGTCTCTAATTTATTTTTCCAAAATGATTAATTTCCCCAATACACTCAGTGTTTTAGACAATCTGTCCTATTTGCTTTCCCCAGACATAACATCTCATTTTCCGTCTTCCATGCCTTTGCATGGGCTGTGCCCCCTGCCTGCAATGCAATCCCCCTCACCTCTGTCTCTTAGAATTCTGAGCTTCAAGCCAAAGCTTAAATATTACCTTCTATATAACTCCTGATCTCTCCAGTTGGCAGTGCTTTTCTTGTCCCCTAAATTACTTTGTATTTACTTTCTATATATCTTGTATTTACTTATCTATATATTGTATCAGTCAACTATCATTTATTAAGTCAGACAAATAGCATTTATTAGCACCTACTGTGCGCTGGGTGCTGTGCTAAGCCCTGGGGATATGAAGAAAGGCATGACAGTCCCCTGCTCTCAAGGATCTTACAGTCTAATGGACTGTGAAACATGAATTCCTTAAGGGAAAGGCAGGGTTTCACTTTTGCCTTTTCTGTCTCCCAGTGCCTAGCACAGTGCCTCCTACATAGTAAGCACATACATGTTTGATGAAAGAATGAATGACTCCTAAATCTATATTTCTAGCTCTAATCTCGCTGATGAACTCCAATCCTGCATTGAGAATGTCCTGAGACATCTCTGCAGATATGTATGTATGTATATATGTGTGTGTATACACACACACACACACACACACATATATATATATATATATGTATATACAATCTCAAACTCAACATACAGTATCTAAAGACAGCTCATCCCCTCCCCTGCCCCCAGACAGACTCTTCCTCCAAATTTCCCTATTTCAGTTGAGGGCATCATCACCTTTCCAGGCACCCAAGTTTGCATCATAGGAGTCATTCTTGACTCTTTCCTCTTCTTCAACCCCCTCATTTACTCACTTGCCTCCACATTTTCTCTTGTATCTGTCCCCTTCTCTTCAATCACACAGCCTGAACTATTTCTATAGCCTCCTCATTGGTTTCCCTGATTTCTGTCTCTCCCCTCTTCACACAATTCTCAACTTAACATTCTTAAAACAGATTGGACCATATCATTCTTCCTAGTCAAAAATCGGGAACCACAAAACTTACTACCCATTTGACCTTGGGTAAGTTACTTAATCCCCCTCAGTTTGGGGGGCTCAGAACTCAGAAAACGGTACTCAGCTTCCTCATCTATAAAATGAGGGTGTTGGACAAGAGAGTTCCAGAACACATTTTTTCCAGTTCTAGATCTATGATTCCATGAGCCTATGATATAACACTGGCTCAAGAGTCAGAGAACCTGGGTTCAAATCCCACCTCTGACATTTCTTGTGTAACTTTGAGCTACTCACTCAAGCTTTCTGGGTCTTAGGTTCCTCATCTGTGAAACAGGGGTGGGGGATCCTAAATCATGTTTTAGAGGAAGATACAAAGCCTCTCAAGAACAAGTAGGGGAGGGGGCAGCTAGGAGGTGCAGTGGCTAGAGCACCAGCCCTGACGTCAGGAGGACCTGAGTTCAAATATGACCTCTGACCAGACACTTGGCACTTACTAGCTGTGTGATCCTAGGCAAGTCACTTAACCCCAACTGTAAAAAAAAAAAAGACAAAAAAACAAGTAGAGGGTAGAGTCTTCAAACTTTCTGTGGGGTTCAAGAATGTCTGATCCTGGCTCTGTTCTAACACCATTCTTGCTCCTGCAGTCAGGGAAATCATGACCCCCCCCCCAAGATCTAACTCTTTTTATCATCCTACAACTTCTGGTCCCTAGGTCTCATGAGCCTTTGTTCCCCTGTTAAACTGTGAGTTCTATGGAGGCAGCTGTCTTGTTTTATCTAAGCTTTATCTGCCTTCCCCAATGCCTAAGCACTGTGCCCTGACTACCAAAGACACTTAATATCTATTGAATGAATGACTGCTCAATGAATTTGCCCTTGCCCTCTCCCCAGCACAGAGTTGGAGACACAGCACATGTACAAACCATCCATTTTATTTCCTGTTTTGGTTTTATACAAACTTATATTTACACAAATGCAGCTCCCCTTGAGAGATGGGGCCGCTCTAGTAGTTGCGACATCTAAAAAGAATGACTGCTGAAAGGAGGAAGCAAATGATCACCCATTCCAGGGAGGAACTCCCCCTTCCTGGGCAAGAAAGATGCTATGAGGATGCTACAGCTTCTTGGAGGATACCCAACTTCAAATGATCTCCTAAGGTCACTTTGCTACCAAATAAAGACACCAACATCACAGGTTTCCTCATTAGGTTTATTGTCTAAATCTAGCAAGATTAAATTGTCCCCAGAATGTGCATAAATAGATGTAGTTCACTCCTGTGGAGTTTTCTTGGTTACAAGAGTGACCAGGTGGAAGGTGTTACAGAAAGACAAGGAAATCTCATCTCAACCAACAGTCATTCCTTCCTCCCTCCCCCACCCCCTTCCCCCAATAAGAGCAGGGCTCTGCTTAAGCCCTGGGCAAGGAGAGAGAGTCCACATAGCTGGAATACAGTTAAAGTGACCTTTGAAACAGGACAATCCAAAACACAAGTCACGGATGGAGGGAATTATTGACCGGGGCAACCCTAGGCTATTAATTAGGGATTTCCACTGCATGGATAACACCATTGTCACTTCCTCAAGAGTCCAGACTATAGCTTTTTGAGATGGGAGTGGGTGGGGGCAAGCTGGGCACTAAGTCTCCCATCTCACTTGCTGGGAGATAAAGTTCATGCTGGGCCAGTTAAGTGGAGAAGCAAGCACCAAGGCATCTCTTGAGGTGCAAAGTCAAGCTCTAAACTTCTGCTGAGAATTACGGGCTATTCTATCCTATGGGTACAGGGCCTCGATGCAAGACTATGGAGACCTTCTGATTGTCTGTACCCTCCCCACAAAATTGCCCCTTGCCTGCTTATCTCATCTCATGGCAAGAGAGCAGCTAGGATTGTTGCTTTGCTTTATTTCAGCACGGAGAATACATTCCAGTGGATGGATTGGGTCTGGGTCCTCTTGGCAAGGTTGAATGGGCTACATCATCCTTTGGAATCTTCCTTGGCACATGACCTTGTTTGGCAGCCTGGATGCCAGGCTGAGACTAGTCCCAAGGATGGTCTAAGGGACAGTCCCCTAAGGGAGGGAGGGTACACAGCTGGAGATGTCTTACAGATACATGAGGGAGGGGAGAATTGGAACCCACAAAAGTGGTGAGAAGATCCAAACAGCTCTCAGTGCTCCATGGTAAGAGGGAAGCAGTTAGCATCAGTCATCCCAAAATCATTTTTGTTTGGCTTTGGAAGACATTATAGCATGGCCCAGCAGTCGATTTGCTTTCCTGGTTCTGTTTAGCCGAGGATGACCCGAATCTGAATTTCTAACTTGGGTAAGGAGAATTGGCTGAGACTCACAAAGCAATTTATCTGTGCTCAGTAGGAAATTGACTAAAATATCAAGTTTTCTGAAGACCTTCAAGAGAAATTCCACATCAAATAAAGATTTCTTTAATATCTTTTTGAATGGGATTCTTGCCTTTTCCGGATCGGGAAATAGTTGGAAATCCATGAGCAGGGAGAGCTTTTATTTTATTGTTGTGGAGAAGGTGGTGGTTGGTGGTGGTATTGAGCCTTCTACTCCCAATCGCCCCATGAACTAGCAACCACATCAACCTGGACGTTCTACAATTTGAAAATAGATTTGCCATTAACAAAAGCAGAAACTAGATCTATCTTAAAGTCCTTTTTTCACTTTTGGATAAAAAGGGGACTAGAAGATGGGGGTAGAGAGGTCCACTTTGTGGGCCAGGACCTGAAACAGTATAGAGGATAAGGGAAAGAGAAAAATAGTTAAGGTTAGGGGCTCCAGAAACAGATAAGACATCCAAACAAATATATATTATATATAATATGTATAATTTCCATAAAACATATATTAAGGCATGTAGAGTAACATAAAGAGCCAGCTTTATGAAATAATGGGTGAGAAAGAGGTGGGGGAGGTGCAGATGTTATTTCCTGGTTTTGTACATGTATTTCTTTTGAAAATTACTCTTTTTTAAAAAGGGGGTGGGGGAGAGGAGAGACAGATAAACTCCAGGAAGGGTTAACAGTCCCTGCAAATCAGTTCAAAGCAGGAGGAGACAGGCTTCTTCACAGGGAGTTAAATGGGGCAAGAGAAGCAAGATGCTAAAGAAAAAGGTCATTGGGTCTCCTTTTTTCTCCACACCCACCCTCTCCCCCAAACAGGAAGGACAGACTAGGGATGCTTTAATGGGCCTTAGAACCATATGCAGGGGTGAGATCAAAATACAGGGTGAAAGTTGGTATGAGTTGCATTTTCTTAGAGCAATGAGGTGTGTGTGCATAGGGGGCAGTGACTTGTTAATTGGGGAATTATATTCATGTAGGTGTAGCAACTATCCTAGCCATCAAGAAGGTGAATGGATTGGGGTGTGGACTAGAGGATGCGAAACAGTTGCTGTTTGCAGATCTCCCTAGGTTTGAACTATCAGGGTATTGGGATGGGTGAGAATGGTCTACTATATCAGAGTGACCCTTAGGCTAGTAATTATGGCAAAAAGAAAATGGCGTACAGAGACCATCTTACTCTTCTCCTTCTCTAGCTGCATCTTATGTTATTGAGTAGGAAAGAGTAAGACGACTCAATGCTCATCTCTACACATCCTCCCCTTCTGCATTCGAGGTGCCAGAAAAGTCCTTGTATTCGAGTTCCAGCGTCTGTGAAACCTAGCCCTGACTGGGAATCCTCTGGAAGAATGGGGCGTGGAACAGGCGATGGATTGGGCCTTTGGGTTCTTTATTCTGTCTGCTGGAAACTAAGGGATGGGGGATGGGGACCAGGGAACTGTCACCAAACTGGCTAAGTGAGGTTTTCCCCCATTTCACCGTTACCAGCTGCCACCCCTAGGGGGCACATGCAGACCCCAGGACATCCTTCTATCCACAGCAGCTTCCCAGGTTCTCATCAAAGATCTCCTAATTGGAATCAGAAACACGTGGCTGCAGAAGCACCTGCCTTTGTGTGTCTTCCTCAGGCTAGTCTGGGGGGAGGGGGTGCCCAGAAGAGAGCTCTTGGGAGTGATGAGATTATAAAAAATGCCAACCGGGTATTGCTTTCATTAGTGAGTGGCAGCTTCCCTCTGAGAAAACACGTTCTGAGCTATTTTTTCAGCCCCATCTTTCTCCCCCCCCTTTTTCTCCCTTCTCCTCAGCTTGCCAATGAATGTTGTTGGGGAAGCTTCCCCGACCACTTCACCTCCCCACCCCTTCACCCTCCTCGACTTGTTCTTAGACACTACACAGACCTGCTGGTTCCCTAACCACTGCACCTGACCACCTGTACCACCACCACTGAGTGCTGTGACTGACATTCACATCCTTGCGTCCTTCTCTTGACCCATTACACTCGTCTTTGGCACAGTCAAGATGACCAGTCCCTCTTCTGTCCCCAGAGGGCGTCCACGAGCCAAGATTCGTTAAAGCTAAGGGTTTAAATTGAGAGAGCAAATTGGGGAGAATGGTAGAGGGTGCCTGGGGAGTCTTCCCTTGGTGTCAGGGTTAGAGGCTTAGCAGGACTTCTCTCGGGCTAGGGGAGGAGGTATGTCCATCTCTTCCACCTCCTGGCCCATGTTCTCCCCTCCACAGCAGGTCCCGGTGTATCCACAGTCACCAGCTGTGGGTGCTCCTATCCATTCAGTGTCAGGCGGCGGGCTGCACCTCATGCCGGTCCCCAGCCCCAGTCCAGTGACCCTTGCAGAGCAGAGCAACAGGATCGTCTCTTCAGAATGGGGCCATGATCCAAGAGGCCATGGGGGGGGGTGTGTCTTGAGGTATCTGTGCCCCTCTCAGCAGCCGAAGCCACCCCAGGCCTGGCTCCCCACAGCTGTCCTGCGGGGAGCACGGTGGAGGTGAGATAGGGAGCCTAGACCCCAGTGTGGCAGAAGAGGGCTTCAGAAGGTGGCTCTGTGGAACTTCACAGCATTAGCCTCAGCCAGGGCTTGCACTAGAGAGAGAGAACAAAGCAAGACAGGTCTGGGTGTGCGTTAATAGCTATCCTGGATCCACCCAGGGGTATGGGCTGACTCAGAATAGTTCTCTCTAAAGAGCATAAGGATTTTGCCTCTAGGGAGTGAGTTTGCTGGGAGGTGGGAGAGGTGTCCCTAAGATTTCTTGGCAATAAGGACTCCCCTGCATTAGATAAACAAAAATCAGTGCTCTTTCCTCCACTTGCAACACATTAAGGGCATTACATTAATACATCACATCACATTAATAATTCAGTAGACTAGTGGCCCTTGGCTAAAGGTGCCCTGTGCCAGATTTATCTATAATGGGGCTTGTGGCCTGGGAGCCTGACTTTTGAGAGCAGTACACAGGTAGATAGGATAACGCATTCCCTAACCTAAGTTCCCCTCCTCCATCTGACCTGAGATCCAGGCCCAGGGCCAGCCACTGCATTGAGGTGCTTTTGGTAGGCTCAAGCAGATGGATGGACCAGAGCAGAGCAGCAAGGGAAAAGGGGCGGGGGGGGGGGGGAGGAAAGCAATGTCTAAATGAAGACAAGGACATGGCTCTGGAGGTGGGGCAGGGAGTCTCCCTGGGACCATCTAATACAGTAGAAAAGATGCTTACGTCACAGCTCAGACCCGCATAGAATGGCTGCTGTCGGTGCCCCGCGGGGGATCAGACGAGAGGGGGTTGGCTGGTGGAGTCGGGGAAGCAGGGGAGGTGGGAGGGCTTGGGGTGGCACACTGAGCTGGAAACAGAAATGAACAGGCTTGTGAACGGGAGGGAGACTGGGGATGGGCACCAGGAACAAGGCCTCTTCCAAGAAGGGAAGAGAACGAGGGTGTCGAGGCAAGCAGGGACAAAGCAGAGCTCGCAGCTGGTGAGCCAGCCCAAGCACAGGCACAGCCCCCCTCACTCCCACTGGAGTTCGGAAGGGCGCGGCCGATGCCGCTCGCTGGTTTGGCAGAGCCAATGAGGGCCTGGGAGTCAGGAGACCTGAGGTCCACTCTGAGCTGCTGCCGCAGCTTTCCGTGCGACCTTGGGTAGGTCATCTGCTCTCTCTCTGTGCCATCATTCACTCATCTGTGAAATGAGGATGGGCAGGCACGGACAGGCTGTGATCCAGATGAATGGAAGGAGTACCCCTCCCCCCATTAATGGGATCACAGATCCATTGGACCAATGGAGCAAAATGGGGAGCTTTGCACCCCTGCCCTACAGGGCTATTCTGGCGATGCAACAAGGTAGGTAATCTATGCAGGTACTTTTCAATGGCACATTTTACAAATAAAAAGTTAAAATAATAATATTTGCAATTATTATGTAATATTTGCAATGATTATTATATTATTATTTTACAGTACATAGCGAAATTTCACTAATTAGAACCTTTTCTTCTCCCTCATCCCTAAGAAGAAGGCTGAGGGCTAGTCAGCCTAAAGAAATGGAAAAGTTGAACTAGATGATGTAATTTTTAAAAATAATTGTCAAACATATACTAATTTTCACTAGGCTAAAAAAAATATTGCCTAGCAGAGGTGGAATGGGTACCTGATTGAATGAACTTTTATAAGATTATAGATTCTAAACTATGTTTTATCTAAATTCTGTATCTCATCAAGCTTATTAACACTCATTAAATATTTATAGAATGCAATTTGTGCTATATGGTATTAGTTTTTGTGCAAAAGACAAGGCACCCTTTAAAGAGTTGGACTCGTGACCTTTAAGGGTCTTTCCAACTTGGCCTGACTTTATAATGGTAAATAGCAAATTTGTAAATATTTTCCTTACAATCTTCTATAGGCAACTAATGAATCTATCTCTGCCTCTTTTTCAGAAACCGTGTGCACACACCTAGCCCAGCCTTGTTACTGAGCGAATGAAGTCCAAATTAGTGAGGTTTCAAAGCAGTGTTATTTAGCAGTAGAAAGGGGAAAGCAGGGTGGGGTGGAGTTGGAAGCACATTCCAGGCCCTTATTTGTTCTCAGTGGACCATGTGGATTCAGGAAGAAGTTAGGGACAGGTCTCCCTGTCTCACAGAGGCACAGAGTGAGTTAGGGTCTTTACCAGGGTAACCCAGGATATTATCATCCAGAAGTGGAATTCCACGTGTCTCGTTTCCTAGTCTGACCCCCTTCCCCATTAGACCTCACTGCCCCTTCCTGCTCTCTGTTCAGTAGTCAGGAAAGGTAGGCTCAAGAAAGGATGGGTTCCAATTTTCCTTTTATAGCTTTTTATAGATGTAGCTATCACCATTCAGCACAGGGGAGTATACCCTGTACTGTATACTGGGAAACTCACCCTTCCTGTACGTCATACACGGCACTAGATCCCCAAACAATGCAGGTATCCCTCAAATGTACTCATGCGTTCACTCCCTCTATCTACTCTCACACTGTACACATCCCCCTACACCTTCACGGTGCATTCACCTCACTGCATCCATAACCACTGTACGTACTCACCCCAATAGAGTCATGCCTCTTAATATTTTCTTCCCTTTCCCTCCTACCCACAACTTTTCTCCCCCTTGAAATTACTTTATGTTGCTTTTTACAAACATATCTATATGTATGCCACATCCTCCTGGTAAAACTTAAGCTCCTTGAGGGCAGACTACCTTTTTGTTCTTACATCCCTAGAACCTTACAACCAGTAAATGATTACTAAATGTTTGCTGGATCGATTTGTAAGATTCAGAGGTCATTCATCCAGTACTTTTGACCAGATGGGAACAACGGAGAACAGGAGACATAAGCTAGAAAGATCCACATGCAAACTGATTCTGGGAAGTCTGTGTTCTCAAGTTAATGCCCTCTATTCAGGGATTAGTGCGGGGCCTTCCCTAGGGCAGTGATTCAATTCAATCGATGCTTGAACCGCATCAAGTGTAGTGACAGGTGAGGCCCTCCCTCAGAGCCTAGCTACTCTTACTTCCACATACACATACACATACACAACTCCAACAAGTCTGCTGTGCTCTGAGAAAGTAGGTGACTAAATAAGGTGCCCAAAATTTAGAGGGAAGATGGACAGAGATGGCTGCTTGTTAAGGTAGGAATGCTGAGTAGCAAGAAGTCACCGCTGATAATAGAATGAAAAAAGAAAACAATTAAAAGCAGGAAGGGGATTTAAAAACGTGGTAGTAAGAACATGTTTGTCTCTTTGGGGCAAACATATGTCCCTCAAGGGTCCATCAGGTCATCATTACGAAATGGTGAGCCTGAGACAAGCAAAGCCTGTCGGTATCTTCCATTTAAGGTTGTGTGATTGTTGTTTGGCCTTCATTTTTAAAGAGGACCATGAGGTCAGGAAGGAGATGCCATGACTTGTGAGTGAATTGGATTTAAGTGAGGGAGGGCTATGCAAAGTCATCAGCCTCACATTCTCCTCTAGAGCCGGAGCAGGTACTATATTAAGCTTATGTGTATTTAAAAAAAAAAAACTACCCCAGTAGAATATAAGCTTCTTGAAGTCTGGGACAATTTCTTTTGTGTCCCTATAGCCCCCAGGCCTAAAACAGAGTGACTTGCACACAGTAGGTTGTCCTTTGTTCTCAAAGAAGATGAAGGGATCAGGAAGGTGATGCCATGACATGCGAGTCAACTGGACTCGGGTAAGGGAAGGCTGAGCAAGGTCACCAGCCTCACTTTCTCCTCCAGTGCCATCTGGGTCCAGCGGCCAGATACAGATCAGGACTGGAGATGGCCCAGCTCTTTTTAAGGAGGCAGGGAAGTTTCTATATAAATAAGCTGTGTCTCCCCACTTCGTCCCAGCTGCCCACACTGTTGTTGGGTCTGCTGGCCTATAAGAGTCCTACCACCCCACCCCACTGAGACATCTGAGGCACAGACATGTGTGCTGCTGGAGGCAGCTAGGTGATTCAGTGGATCAATCACTGGGCCTAGAGTCAAGAAGACTCAAGTTCAAATTCAGCCTCAAACGCTTACTAGCCACCCTGAGAATGTCACTTAACCTCTGTCTGCCCTCAGTTTCTTTGACTGTAAAACGAGATTGTAAGGATTAAATGTTTGTAAAAGTGCTTAGCACAGTGCTTGGAACATAGTAGGTGCTTAATAAATGCTTATTTCCTTCCCTTCTTCCCATAGTCAGTGAGGATATTGTATCTCCATTGCTTAGCGCCTACTAGGTTGGCAATAAATGCTTGCTGATTGATTGATTGATTGGAGGGATGTGCTTTGGCCGACTGGAAAACAGGCTGAAGTGGAACTAACGCTTCTCTGATGATGCCAAGTTAAATGAGGCCTCTCTGTACAGTGTCTTCACCGTTACCCACTCACTCTCTCTCTCACACACACAGAGACACACACATGCAGAGCATATAACATTCTAGGGCCATGGGATCACAGGATTTTGAGCAAACCCCTCATTTGGGCAGATAAAGAAAATGAGGCCCAGAGAGGGAAAGTAACTTGGCCCTGAGGCTACATCAATGAGCTGCCGGGCAGAGATTCAAACCCACATCTTCTGATACCAATTCTAGTGCTCCTCCTTCCCTGCAACACACACACACACACACACACACACACACACACACACACACACACACACACACACACACACACACACACACACACACACACACACACACACACACACACACTCTGTACTGTCACAACACTCGCACTCACAGCTCTACTGCCAACACATGAGTTGCATGTTCCCCGTAGCACGGCTCCTGCCCAGCCTTTGGTGCAGCTGCAGGCATTTCTGGGCCCTAGAACCCAGGAGCCAAAGCGGCAGGGACAGGGAGCTGTGCCTGAGGTTTGGCAGTACCGCAGCCATTCTTTAAATATTTGGGGTTTGGGTAGAGCCCAGGTGGCTGTTTGCTCTGAGTGCACGAGCCGAAACCTAAGCCTGTGTGTGTAGAGGAGGAATCCGATAGGCCGGTTCAGGTTTTGTTTTCATGGAACCTCTGGCTGGAGGCCTGTGGAGGCAGAGAAAGCCAGGGCCCTGGGGCCGGCCTGGGGAAGGGTTTTTCAGTAAAGGGTTTTGTTTTTATTCCCTTTGAAACAGGAAGTTGCCTTTTGCCCAGAGCATGGAATTTGACCTTCAGAGGTTCAAGTTCAGTTTGTGAAGGAAATGCTGACAAGTCCTGCTGGAGACTTCATGCCCAAACCAGTCAACGGAGTCAGCTGGCCTCCGGTAAGGGAAGGCTGAGCAAAGTCACCAGCCTTTCTCCTCCAGCGCCATCTGGGTCCAGCGGCCAGATACAGATCAGGACTGGAGATGGCCCAGCTCTTTTTAAGGCATCAGGGAAGTTTCTATATAAATAAGCTGTGTCTCCCCATTTCGGCCCATACCCCGTAGTCCTGATATGGGAAGCTGCCTTCTCCCCACCCCACCCCAACTCCCCAGGTCTTATCCCATTCATCCCCCTGCCTTCCAGATGTGCCCAGAGCCAATGGACAACTCTCCACAGGGAAGATGACTCATCACAGTAGCGGAAAAAGCATTCTACTGAGAGTCAGAAGACCTGGGTTCAAATTCTGGCTCTAACATGAAGTGTGCAAGCAACCTGGGCCATGGAGCTGAAACTCTCTGGATCTTAGTTTTCTCATCTACAAAATGGGAAGAGCGTTACTTGTGCTGTTACACATTATTGTTGGAAGAAAGTGGTTTTTTTTTTTTGGTTGGAAACAGTAAAGTATGGTATTAATGAGCTATTATTATTATTCCATTGCTGGACCTTATTTATCCCTTTTGATACCAGAAAGTTCTTCCCCGGGGCTAACTAAAATTCCTCTTGCTACATACAGCCTAAGAGAATACTTTCGAGAAGAACTATGTTTGTGATTATTAGGAATAAGGATGAAGAGCACTTATTTTTAACTATATGTAATAGTGGTACTTCTTTCCTATGGGATGCTGAGCCTCTTCCGGGCACGGAACATGCCCCAGCCAAAACATATGTGCCACCAGACACACTCCATGGGATGGCCAGTGTTCTACACTGTAAACCTCTGCCACAGGTCACGTGTGTATCCAGCCCTGTTTTCCTTAGGAGGAACTGGCTTTTTTCTCATCTCTCTCAAAAAGGCCCCCAGGGCCAGGAACAATCTAGGTGTCACCAGTCTCTAGTCTAGCCTCCCCTATTTCTAGGCTCAAGCTGCTGTAATCATCTGCTCACCTCCTGTGGACCACCCTTCCCCTTCTTTCATGGGAGAACTCAAAGCTTTCCATGCCTATCCACCTCATTGAGCTCATCTCTTGCAGTATACTATGCTTTCCCTACTCTGCAGCTAAATAGGTCTCTTAAGTGTTCCCCATGTCCTTCCAATGAACCTCCTTCCTTCCTCTTAGTAAGAATTACTAACTCTTTGCATTCTACTAATATATCTTGTCCCTTCCATCCATTCAAGTTTTACCCATCCCCATTTCTCCCCACTCCAGGGGTGGGGAGCCTGAGACCTCGAGGCCACATGTGGCCTTCTAGATCCTTACGTAAGGCAGGCCACAGGTTCCCCACCCCTGCCTAGACCTTCCTAGATAGAACTGTCCACTTTCACAGCTAAACTCAATCACAGCCTACTCCTCTCCCTCTGCCTCCTCCTGTCTGTGTCCAATCAACTCCCAATTATCCATATTCTTCCTGGAAAACAGGAAATCTTGAAGCTCTCGCCAGTAGGGCTGGGGTGGAGACAAGGCTGTGGCAGCTTGGCCCTGCCTCCTTAGATAACATCGCCCTGCTGTCTGTTTACTCTTGCTGCTTGCCTGCTGCCCGCTGCCCAGCAGAAGCTGGAAGGGAAAGACTTTTGACAATGCCTCCCTCCCCACATTCGGGATCAGCTATCAGGCGCAGCCTTTTAAACTCAGCCAGTGAATTACTTCCCTTGATCCGGGATTGTGAGTTTAAAGAAAGATAGAGAGACTGCTAAGAGATGGTGGTGTTCATGTCCAGTATGAAGGAGGGAAGTAGGAGGACTGTTTTGAAGTCCATGAATTCACAGACCAGACACCCCCACAGGAAAATGCACTAAGTAAAATATGTCCCCCAAATAAATCAAAATACTTTTGGATTATCTATTTTTGGCTTTCAGAGTTTAGGGATTATCTATGCTATGATTCTCCCACCTGATGAACATAAATAATTAGGAGTTGACTGCATTCATATGCCTTCTATGAATGCATTTATGTGTAAAGAGGTCTATACTGGCATACCTACCAATAATACCGTGTGTTTTTGTTTTAGCCATTTCAATCGTCTCTGATTGAACGCTTTTGGGGTTTTCTTGGAAGAGATACTGGAGTAGTTTGCCATTTCCTTCTCCAGCTCAGATGAGGAAACTGAGGCAAACAGGATTAAGTGATTTGCCCAGGGTCACACAGCTAGTAAGTGTCTGAGGCTGGATTTGAACTCAGGTCTTCCTGACTCCAGGCCTGGCACTCTATCCACTGGGCCACCTAGCTGCCTACAGAGTTATAACTAAGAATATTTGCACCTGAGGTACCAAAAACCATGACTGGGATATAAATTGTTCCCTCCGCTGGTTTACTACATCACTCTTATGTGAGAGAGAGAGAGAGAGTGTGTGCGTATGTGTGCATGTGCGTGTGTGTGTGTGCGCATGTGTGTATGAGAACTCCCTGAGGGTAAAGACTGTGTCTCCTCCATAAGGCTTCGGAGTTTCCCAAGGGCAGAGAATATATTTCCTCCATTAAAGTGGATGTCCCCCAAAGGCAGGGCCAAGCCTCCTCACCGCAGATGCTCAACACCTCCCATGGGGTGAGGCCAGTGCTTGCTGTGTGTCTACAGGGGGCTGGCAGACTACCGGAGCCGATGGTGGAAGACACAGAACCAGAACATGGGAGCAGACTCTAGCTCTCCTTGTTCCAATTTGCCTGCCAATGTTACTGTTGGACCTGCTGGCCTGACTGTCCCTCACTCAGACTCCCAGGGACCTGTGTGTACCACAAGCATGTGGGGAGGGGAGCTATGTATCTGGTCACCAACGTGGAAGTTGGTGAGAATGAAAAGGAAGACCCTTTTCTTTATATGCTCTAAGGTGGAGGAGTGTTGGCAGAGGTGGACAAATCATTTATAATTCACCCTAAATTTGCGGCCACACCTCTTTGGCCAGGTCCAGGCCCAGCCCCAAGCCCCGGGGCCAGTCTGGGCAGCCAATCTTGCTGGCAGAGCAGGGCCCATCCCCTCTCACCAGACAGCATGCGGCCCCTTCGGGAGGCCTCAGTCGCCAGGGTGCAGGAGATTTCAATCCTCTTCTCCTGCTCCTGAAGCTGGCTCTCGGGGTCCTGTGGCGCGTCCACCGAGTCGCCCTCGCCCATGGGCACCACGTTCTGCATACTGGGGAAGCACAGACACATACCCACGGAGGGCCAGGGTGATACAGGGGCCCTTCAGGTAACTGTGTCGATGCTTCTGTAGGCGAGGCTCTATGTGTTCCTAACCTGGGGTTCATAAAATTATTTTAGACATTGTTTTGATAGCTATATTCTGATATAATTGGTCTCCTTTGTCATCTTAAGTATTTCATGTTATGCATTTCAAAACATTATCTTAAGAAGGGGTCCATAGGCTTCACCAGACTGCTAAAGGGGTCCAAGACACCAAAAATGTTAAGCTTCCCTGGGGTAGAGGGAATTGGTGAATACGCTTCCCACAGTAACAATCAATCAAACAGCAAACCTTGACTCAGCACCTACCAGGTCCCAGGGCACTGTGCTGGGTGCTAGGATAGCAGTACTAGACTGAAGCAGACCTTGTCCTCAGGGAGTTTCCATTCTACTGGAGGCAAGCTATCCCTAAAGATATATGCTGAAGGGGAAAATAGCTGGTGTGTTCCTCCAACACCATTATCTGAGTGAAACCAGGTTAAAATGAACAAGGGCTGTCTTAAGGAGAGAAAGGACTCCCAACAGCGCAATGGGAGAGATGGGTATACAAGAAAGGGACGTGGGATGATTATGGGCAGATAGTCCAAGTGTGAGCTCTTGGTCTCTGTTAGCACCAGCTGACAGAAGCCACGGCCTTATCTCCTCCTAGCTCCCTGGCCCCAGAGCCAGGCAGGCATGGAGCCTATACCAGAGGCAGTAGCCCCAAGTGGGCCTCGAAGGCACTGCCCCCCAGAGTTCCCTGGTAGTACTAAGGGTGAGGACGGGGAGAGAACGGGTGATGCCGCCTCCTCCCACCCCCAACCCTAGTCACCTGGATTTGGCAATGAGAGTTTTGATCCTTTCCACCTTTTTCTGCTTCTCCTTTATCTCTTCTGGGCTCAGGGGTGTTTCTGGCTCCAGCTCAATGTACCGCTCAGGGATGAAGACTTTGTCGGGTGTGGAGAGCTACGGGGGTAAAGATGCAGTCATTACCAGTTGCTCCCCGTCCTTGGCCCCCAAGAGGGGAGGCAAGAGTTTCTTCTTACCTCCTTGGTGATGTCCACGTCATAGTGCTGCGGTTCCAGTTCCATTTTTCGAAGTCGGGCAATCTCTTCCTGGGGAGTCTCATAGGCCTGCCCACCGGGCTCCTCTGCCCGAAGTGCCGCCTCCAAGTTGGAGATGTCCGCCTCATGGATACTGCGGTGACGGCGCACCTGGGAGCCAGCAAAGCCATGGCCACTTGGGGCCTATGTCCCCCCTGCCCTGCCCCTCCTCTGTCATCCACCAGGTGTGACTCTCCTAGTCACCCTGGTAAGGATTTTCCCTCCTGGTTATTAAACTCTAAATTCCACTTCTCAACCCTCTTCCAAAGTCTTTCACAATCTGGCCCCATCATACCTAAACAATCTCCTCTCTCACTTTTTTCCTACTACCTTCTGGAATAGGCAGGTTGGCTTTTCATGGTCCCAAAAAGAGACCTTTCCTGTAACATTGGGCAAATCACTTAACCACCATGGGCCTCAATTTCCTCATCCGGAAAATGATTGGGCTGGACCAGATGACCTCTGAGGTCTCTTCCAGCTCTGGAACTAGGTTCCTACAATCCCCTTCTAGCTCTGAAAACTCATTCGTGCCCTTTCCCCTGGATAGAATACAGTCTTCTCCTGCCTGTCTAAATCACATCCATCCATCATGGCGGCCCAGCTCAAGTCCCATTTCCTCCAAGAAGCCTTCCCTAATAACTCTGGCCAACACTGGCCTCCCTTCTCCCTCATTGTCCCTAGGACTCACCACATAATGTTGTTCCTTGACTCTATTTTGCCTCATATCAAACTCTAAATGTCTCACATGAGTGTCCTGTCTTCCCAAATACATTGCAGGCTCCTTGAGGTAGAAACCATATCTTATATTTTCTTCTCTATTCTTTCTCCATAATGCCCAGCATGGTGGTGCCTTACATCTAGCAGGCCCCTTGCAAAGGCTTGTTGAATTGAACTCTATTTAAAGTGGCCCTTCCAGGCACCCCAGTAAGGCCTCTCCCAGGCATCCCAGTGAGGAGCTTCCCACCCTTTCCCCAACAATGCCCACTGGCCGGGGCTGGCCGTGCCCCGGGAGCAGGGGAGTCTCACAGCCCCCTATGCCCATGGGGTGGCTGGGGGAGTTTTACCACTTTGTAGGAGGGTCGGGCAGTGGGGTCAGGGGATGGGCCAGCTGGGAGTTGTAGGCTCCGACGTTTCTCCTTCATGGAGCTGCTCTGATGCCGCCTCATGCGGTCGATCTGCTCCTCCACACTCATCTTGGCCTTCGCCTCGTTGGGAAACATTGCACTCTTGGGACGCTCCTGCTGGGAGGGGGGGTGGGGGTGGGTGTGTGTGTGTGTGGAGGGGAGGGGGAGGTGCTGGAGGCTCCCTTAGTTCCCTCACCCACCCTCTGCCATTCCCGATTCCTGCCTTGGCTCAAGTCACCTCCTTCAGAGAGCCTTCCGGGATTGATCCCATCAACCTCTAATTCCACTCCAATCACTGTGTTATTCTGCATCCCTGAATATGTTTGCATTATGCTCGCCTGCACTTTGGAAAAATTCTCCGGAAACTTTCCCACATCTTTTTAGAATGGCAGAGTTGGAAGAGACCCCCCAGAGGCCATCTAACCTACCTCCAGGAGGAATGTCCTCTAAATCCTCCCAGACAAGAGGTCCATCCAACCTCTGCTTGGACAGCTCTACTTACTGATAAGGAAGGCCCTGGTTGATCACACGCATCTTTCCAGTCTCCCTCATCAGACTAGCAGCTCCTTGAGGGTAGCAACTGAGTCCCCACCCCTTCCCAACAGGCTGTGAGCTCCCCAAGGATGAGGACTAGAGCAAGAGGTGGAAATGACAGAGAGGCAGACTTGCTAACGGACAGATCTGTCCAAAAGTGAATGGGCTACTGCACCCTCCTGCCTTCTCTGGAAGATCACTTGCCGGCTGTGTGGCAGAATGGAGCCGTACTACATGACCTGTGAGGTCCCCTGCAACTCTGAGGCTCTCTGCCCATCTCTGCCCATCTCCTCAGAAGCTCTGTAAAGGAAGGAACTTTGTTTCCTTTCTCCTGTTCTCTCCTTCCAACACCTCGCATGATGCAGAAGAGGGAGAGCGATAGGTGTTGCTGACCCAGGCGTTAGCTGGGTATTACGTGGGAGGGAGCAATGAAAAGGGTGCTGTACTTATAGTCAGAGGACCTGAGTCCCAATCCTAGCTGCCACTTAGGCTTGTTTAACCTTGGGTAAATTGCTAAACCCTCTAGCCTCAACTGCCTTATCTGTCAAATGAAGTGGTTGGACTCAGTGACCTCTAAGGTCCCGTCCAGCTCTACATCCCTGATCTTATGGTTCTTGAGTTCTGCTTTCCCTCCCCTTCCTTCATCCCTGTGTGTCTGCCAGGTCAGGTACTTACCCGGGAGAGTGGTCCATTGGGAAGCCCACTGGCACTCCTCCTCACCACCGCTGATGGTGCTACCTCCTCATCAGTGGGTGACTTTGTCCGAGGGGGCACAATGCCAACTGAGAAGAATTAGAAGGGGAGAGTGTTCAACAAAGAAGGGTAGCTTGATGAGGGAGCTCGGGGGGACAGCAGGATTTCCCAGAGGCAGAGGGAAGAGGAAATCAAGGGCATCCTTAGATCTTTTCAAAGTCCCAAGAGCCAGACAAGAGACAGGATAGGCCAGTGTTTGTATCAAACTCATATAGAAATAAGTGCGTGTTAACTTAGAAAACCACAAATTAACATTATCTATGTTGTATTTTCATTTATCTTGTTAAACATTTCCTGATTACATTTTAATCTGTTTCTTCTGCAAATGGCTATACCTCTGGGATGAGAGACCATATAGTATATAGGCTATACCATACTACATATCACAGCACACCATACCACACACCACACCACCACTATAGGAGGACAGTGAGGCCTTCAAAGATTCAAATCTGGATCAACCTCTGAAAACCCAGAAAATATCACCCCAGACAAAAATAAAAACCTGGAACAGCTGAACTAGAAGAAAGATGGGGAACAGCAGTGCAGCAGCCAAGCAAATGGGTCCCCTGGTGCCTCAGCAAAAATAAAGGAAGCAGCACTACAAAGGGCACCGGGCTGATAAGCACCCTGCAGCATTCATCTGAAAGGAGCTGAAGAAAGCAACCTAGAGTTTTCCTAAAGTCCAAGCCTTGCTGATTCTAGCCCAACTCCAGGTAAGCTGTCAGAACCCTACAGCCTCCAACTGTCAACCAGGAAGAGATCCTGAAGCCCAGGTGGTACAGCAGGCAAACACCAACACCTGGACCTCCGAGTGCCTCAGTGAGGGCAGGAGAACCGGGGGAGACTCACTCAGACAACCACCAGATGCCTCAGCACTCTATCACAAAGGAATCTCCCATTGCATTAGCAGAAATGAGGGAGGCGGCACTGGAAGGGGCCCCAGGCAGATAAACACCCGCAGCACCCATCTAAAAGGAGCTGAAGAAAGCTAAAGGAAAGGAAAAGCAGGCAACCTAGAATTGCCTCAAAGTTCCAGCCTTGCTGATTCCAGCCCAACACGAGCTGCCAGAACCCTACAGCCTCCAATTGCCAACATAAGAGGCCCCAGCACACAAAGCCAGTGACCAAGACCTAGGCTCCCAACACAAGAAGCTTGGGTCAGTACCCTCTGTGCCCCAGCAGGGAGAGCTCAATCTCTTTAAAGGCCAGGGAATAAAGAAACCATGAGTAAAAAGAAACATACCATAGATTCATATTATGAGAAGAGTGAAGATCAAGACAGAAATTCTGAACATTGTCAACAAACCCATGTGTCTGCAACATCAAAAGGAAATATGAACTGGTCTGAATTCCAAAAAGCCTCCTTAGAAGAGCTCAAGAAGGATTTTAAAAGTCTAACGAGAGAGGTAGAAGAGTCCTTAAAAAATACAATTGGCCAATTGGAAAAAAAGTACACTGAAGAAAACAAGTCCCTAAAAAACACAATTGGCAAACAGGAAAAAAAGTACACTGAAGAAAACAAATCCCTTAAAAATACAATTGGCCAATTGTAGAAGGAAGTACAAAAACTAACAGAAGAAAACAATCTGTTAAAAACTAGAATTGGACAAATGGAAACTAATGACTCTATGAGAGAGCAAGAATCAGTCAAACAGAAACAAAAAAATGAAAAAATAGATGAAAACATAAAATACCTCATCGGTAAAACAACCACCTGGAAAATCATCCAGGAGAGACAATTTAAAAATCTGTATTGAAAATCATGATGAAAAAAAGAGCCTGGACAGTATCTTTCAGGAAATCATAAAGGAAAACTGCCTGGAAGTCCTAGAACCAGAAGGTAAAATAACCATAGAAAGAATACACTGCTCACCACCTGAAAGAGATCCCAAATTGACAATGCCAAGGAATATAATAGCAAAATTCCAAAATTACCAGATGAAAGAGAAGGTGCTGCAAGCAGCCAGAAAGAAACAATTTAAATATGGAACCACAGTCAGGATTACACAGGACCTTGCAGCTTCTACATTAAAAGACTGCAAGGTATGGAACATGATATTCCTAAGGCAAAGGAGCTTGGATTGCAGCCAAGGATCAACTACCCTGCAAAAATGAGCATGATTTTTCAAGGAGGAGATGGATATTCAACAAATAGGGGACTTCCAAACCTTCCTGATAAAAAGACCAGAGCTCAACAAAAAATTTGATCTTCAAGTACAAGATTCAAGAAAGACATAAAAAGGTAAATGGGACAGAAAGATACAAAATGTTGTTAATAAGGGCGGACTGTTTACATCCCTACAAGGGAAGATGACACTTGCAACTCTTGAGAACTGTATTGTTATTACACCATGTTAAAGGAGTATACATAAAGGGGTGGATATTAGTTGACTTTGATGTAATGATAAAAAAAATCTAATCAAGTGGGTTAAATGGATCCAAGTAAGTGGATTAGTCTGATCTTAGAAAATGTACTGAGAAAGGAGGAGGCAGACAAGGGTAAATTACATTACAGGAAAAGACAGAAAATCCTATTACAGCAGAGGGAAAGAAGGGAGGGGGTGAGCATTGTTTGAACCTTATCTCATCAGATTTGGCTCAAGAAGGGAATAACATAATCAGTTAGGTATAGAAATCTAACTTGCCCTATAGGCAGTAGGAGGGAAAAGGGAAAGAAAAGGGAGGGGGGATAGAAGGGAGGGAGAAGCAGAAGGGCAAAGGGGAAGAAAAGGGAAAGGGATAATAGAAGGGAGGAGAGACTGAAGGAGGTGGTGGTCAAAAGCAAAACACTAGTGAGGGGGGGAAAGGAGAAAGAAGAAAGAAAAGCATAAACGGGGGGGGGGAAAGGATAGAGAAAAAGACACAGAAAGTAATCATAACTGTGAAAGTTGAATCACTATCTTTTTTTTTTCTCTTCTGTTGAGTTTTGTTTCTTCTTTCTGATGGTTCCTCCTATTGGTTTTAATTTTTACTTACAACTTCACTAATGTGAAAATATGTTTAATAGGAATATAAATGTATAGCCTATATCAGATTGTGTGCCGTCCTGGGGAGAGTGGTAGGGAGGAAGGGGGAGAAAAATTTTCAACTCAAAAGCATATGGAAGTGATTGTTGATAAATCAAAATAAATTAATAATAATAAAAAAAAAAGATTCAAATCTGCCCAAGGTGAAGATGAAAATCCAGAAATCTTGACTCCCAAACCACTCATCTCAACAAAATGCTTCCTCATCTTGATGCAGGGGTGGAAGTCCCAGGGAATTATATAGCTGAGACATACCTTTATTAAGAGCTGCCTGCTTCTCGGCCTCTAGTTCTTGCCTGGTGGGCGTGAGGCTGATGTCTCTGGGAGGATCCAAGGGAGATATCTGGTGAGGGTCCTTCTTGCCCTGCTCGTAGCTACCCTTTGGCTGGGGAAAGATGACAGAAGAGCTCAGGAGAGGGCAGGCCAATGGCAAGGTGAAGGTCCTACACTTCTCATTCAGTACCATTCTTCTCAGTATCTCCTTTAAAGCCCACTGAACATCCCACCTGTGTCCTGGGAGAGAAACAAGGACCACTAGCACATCTTGGGATATAATGGGAGACTCTGGCCTCTGGGGGGCTTCTGAGTCAACAGTCATCCCGAAATATAGCTGATACTCTTATTTATGGTATTACAGGGAGAGGCTGGCTAAGGAGGGGGATAGTGCACCGAGATGTGAGAAAGGACCTTTCAGGATTCCATCTTGGACTTGAGTCAACAGTGGCCAATGGGGCATCCTTAACAGGATCCCAGGAAGGTGAGCGACTTTCAGCTTATGAGCATAGAACATAGGCTCGTAGAACTCTTTAGGGGATCATGGGATTGCAGATTTAGAGAGGGGGAAAGACCTTAGAGGTTACCTAGTCCAATTTCTTTATCTTACAGTTGAAAATACTGAGGCCCAGAGAGATTAAATAATTGTCCGATGTGACACAGGTAGTACTTGGCAGAGCTGAAACTAGACTGTAGGTGTCCTGACTTCAAGTCTACTATACTATATTATCTCTCCAAAGCCTATTCAGATCCCTGAAGGGGGCTCCAGGTAAGAATGAGAAGCTGGAAAGGGTGGTGGAAAAGATGATTACTTAAGTACTTATTGCTTGGAGAGAGATTATGCCTGGGGGACCAAGGCTGTCTAGGATGGTACCACAGACAGACACTGGTATCCTTTCTCCACTGGCTGTCTACCAGTCAGTGGTACAATACCACCAACCTTGGGCTTCAAGTGGTAAGGGGTGGGGAGCAAGGAGAGAGCTCATTTGCCATTCTGTCCAGAGAGGACAAAGGCAGGGAAGGGGGGACCTAGGTAGTTCTCTGGCCTGTCTCTCTTCTTACTCCAGAGAGGGCTGTGTACAAATTCAGCTGGGCAGGAAGCCCAAAAGAAATGAAGCTGTTGAAAAATTAGAATAAAGAGGGGAGAAAAAAATGACTCTGTTCCCTATTGCCTTCTCCACCCTCATCCTGGTTCTTTTCCCCATTTGCACCCCCTTCCCTTTCCCCTACCCACCAGGGAGTGCAGAGAGTGGGTACCTGGCCCCTGGCTGTCTCGCCACTTCGGTGCCAGGAGGGAGAGTTGGGGTGTGGCCAGAAGCGGCTTTCACTAGGGAGCGGAGGGACTGTTGGAGGAGACTCCAGGGGGACATACGCTTTGGGAAGGGGAGGCCGAGGAGGGCCAGGTTCCTGAGGCAGAGAGGAAGCCAGAGTGTTATGAGCAAGAGCAGCAGCTGAGAAGAGGACAGAAGAGAGTGTTAGTGGAACCATGGAACCACAGAAAGTTAGACCTAAAAGGAACCTTGCTGTTACTGAGGTTCAGTCCTATCCAACTCTTCATGACCCTGTTTGGGGTTTTCTTGGCAGAGATACTGGAGTGGTTTGCCATTTCCTTCTCCAGCTCATTTTACAGATAAGAAAACCGAGGCCCGTGACACTGAGGTGAACTGACTTGCTGACACTTATGGCCAGTAGGTGTCTGAGGCCAGATTGGAACTCATGGAGATGAGTCTTCCTGGCTTTGGGCCTAGCCCTGTATCCACTGCATCACCGAGCTGCCCCAAAGGGGCCTTAAACACCAACTAGTTCAACCTCCTCATTTACTAGTGAGGAAACTGAGGCCCAGAGAGGTTAAAGTCACTTTCCCAAAGTCACAAAGTAACTTTGTAGAAGGAAGACCCACCACTCACTTTCCATGACATCACACTGCCTCCCATTAGATGACAGGTATGATGTCCTAGCAAAAAAACCCAAAGAAACAAAAAACCCCAAAAAACCCAGACCATCATCCCTATTTGACAAGTCAGCTTCACTTTTGTCCTGGCATGCTAACAAAGTGTCTAGTCTAAAATTCCCTCTCTGGCATTCATACCTTCTTCTATCTGATCCCACCCCATCCATCCAGACTTTTCTCTCATGACTCCTTAATAAAATCATAATAATGGCCAATATTTATGTAGCGCTTTATGGTCTGCAAAGATTTTCACATAAAAGATATCATTTCAGCCCCTACAATGACTCTGTAAGAGACAGGGATCCACCATTTTACCCAGAGAGTGTAAGTGGCCAGGCCCTGATCACACAGATGGTAAGCAGCAGAGAGATGAACTGAGCTCAGGTAGGCCCAGCACCTGTTCCGTGGGTGCCTCATCTTCATCCCCATCTCTGAGCTGTTTTGATCATGTGGAATGTCCTCCCCTTTGCTCCTCTGCCTTTCCAAATCCTGGCTGTCCATCTCCTCCACGTCCTCCATGAGACCTTCTCTGATGCCTCCTATCCAGATAGGTCTTTCCCCTCTTCTTCTTCCCAAGCATGCATATGCAGCCTCACACTTAATCACGTCCAGCCTTCTACTGTTCTCTGATTGCTTCTCGGGATTTAAATCTTCATCTTTAAACTGTCCCGAGGGTATTTTATTTCTTTGTAACCCTCCAGTGACTACCAACCAGAGTGTTAAGGAAGGCAAAAGGTGCTGACTGATCACATCGAAGCTTCCTAGACCCTCTCACCCACAGAAGCTCTGGATCTCAATTCTGGTCAAGGTACCAAGGTACCAACATGCTTTGCTTCTCAAGTTGGTGCTCAGGAGTACCATAGAACTCAAAGCCATCAGGAAAGTGCTCTCCCTAGGAAGGGATCTGAGTAACGGATGGAAGATTAAGAAAGGTGAAGTTGAAATACAGAGAAAAGAACACAGGATAGGTGGGGCTAGCGGAGTATGGCAAGGAGAGACAACTTTAAAGAGGTTTAAAGGAATATGTCTCAATGCTTAAGAGGGATTAGAACAGATGGGTAATTTATGCAGCTAGAAGATTTCCTCTCCTCCCTTCCCCTTCCCTCCCCAATTGCTGAGATTCCATTTTTTTTTCCTTACCTCATGAGGCCCGGGCTTAGTGGGAGATCCCTGGGAGCCAGACACCATCGAGAACGGGCTCAAGGGGCTGGTGAGGCTGGCTGAGCTGAGGGGGCTTGCAGGGCTATTGGAGCTGAAAGTGGCTGAAGGGCCAAGCCCTCCTTGGGAGAAGAGAAGAGGAAAGAGGTAAGAATTGGAGAAGGTGAGAGAGGGAGCTGTTGTAAAAAGGCTGGACACATGGGCCCAAAGCCAGCGCTTGGAGCATTTAAAGGGATAGGTTTGCCTGTCTCTCCTAAAGAATAACTTGAGAATAGTGGAAGGGTCAATACAGTGAGCTAGGGTCACAGAGGGAACAGTGCTGTCCCAGGGATGACTGAAAAACAAAAACATAAAAGCAAAACACCTAGCCCAAGGTTCCATTGGAATAGGGTAAGAAATGAACCAGAGGGGGAAACTTGTACTCTTTGCATCTTTTTCAGGAGAAGGAGAAGGAATTATGGGAGCCTCAGCCCTTAGATATTCTGCTTGGGCCATCTGGGAGTGTCCCTCACCTGTTTGGGGGAGATTATTCAACTCTAGGGAAAAGGGGAAAGCTCCAGGGCCCTTAGAAGGCATTGGTCCCAAATGAATGGTGAAAAACCAGGAGGCCCCTATGCCAGGGCAGGAAGTCAAGGGCACCATAAAGATGAGGCTCAAGCTGGGGAATGCCAAGGGTCAGGGTCAGGTCAGTCAGCTGAGGGGATGAGTGCCCACCTCGGTGCTTGGCAGTATCTGTGCCCCGGGATGGGTTGTTCTTCCGAAGGCCCTCCATTACATCCTGGATCCTCCAGATCTCCTTTTGGATTTGCCGGTTAAGGACCTCATTCTGAAAAAGCCATGGGCATAAAGGCAAAGCAGCCAACTGTGAGTCTCCCTCATCCAACGTTCCCGTCCTTCCTCAGCTCTCCAGTCCCAGCCTCCGGTCAACTCATCCAAGATCCCTTGATCACCCCCTTCTCCTTTCAGTCCTTAAGCCTAGGCCTGGGAGCAGGCAGGAGCCTCCTGGTTCTCCAGGGTCAAACACCAAATCCTCTATTTGACTTTATTTACATTTCTCCATAATCTCCAGTTTTCTTTCACTTTGCTCCTCTCCACTTACTCCATGGTCCAACTTCACTGGGTTTCTCATTTTATCTTGCACACAGAGTTCCATCTTTTGACTTCATGTCTTTGACTGACTGTCCCCCATGCTTGGCTATGCCCACAATGTCTCCTCACCTCCCTGGCTTCCCTTAAGACTCAGCTCAAAATCCATCTTCTGCAGGAAAATTTTCCTAGTATACCAACTGGCCCATAGCAACGCCTTCCCCCAGAGACTTCCTTCAATTTGTTGTTCAGTCCATTAGTCATGTCTGACTCTCTGTGACTCCATTTGGGGTTTTCTTGGCAAAGATATTGGAGTGGTTTGCCATTTCCTTCTGCAGCTCATTTTACAGATGAGGAAACTGAGCCAACAGGGTTTAAGGGACTTGCCCAGGGTCACACAGCTAATAAGTGTCCGAGGCTGGATTTGAACTTAGGTCCTCCTGACTCCAGGCCCAGCACTCTATCCACTGCGCCACCTAGTACATACTGTATGTACTCTCTCAAATTAGCATGAAAGCTCCTTGAGGGCAGGGACCCTTTGTGACTTTCTGTGTATCTGTAGCTCTTAGCACAAAGCTTGGCATACAGCAAATCCTTAACAAATGCTTGGGGTCTGTCTGACTCTCAAGGTGGGGGTAACAATGTAGCTCTTGGCTGGATCATCATCCTTCCCAAAGGCAGCCTCCTCCCCACTCAGCATCGTCTATAAAACAGCCTCCCTTGGAGCGCACTGGAGAGTGGTGAGTGAGGAGACAGAGCTCATGAGTTATAGGGAAAGTTGCTCTGAACAATCAATGGAAAGGGGCTCAGATGATGTTACTGTGAACATTCGGAGCAGACTTGGCACCGAGGTATTTAGCCCTAGAATCGAACCTGAGGATTCCCCAGCCTAGTCTGACTCTACCATAACTAAAATTAGGAAACTGAGATGCAAGAAATGAAATGATTTACCTAAGGTCTTCTAGCTCAGTGACAGACCCTCGATTTAAACCCAGATTTCTGACCCCAAAATCCAGTGCCATTCCCATGATGCCACCCTGTCTGTAAGCCACTGAGTCCCACAAGAGCAGTATTCAGACCTTCACCTCCAGTTTACTGTATTCCCCCACATTCATCTCTTCTAATAATAGCTGATCACATTTCCCTAGCCCTATATTTACAATAATCCTGGGAGATTACATACACACTATTTTTTAGTATTCATAATAATAGCTAGCATTTATATAGTGCTTAAGGGTTTGTAAAGTGCTTTACAAATACTATCTCATTTGATCCTCCCAACCCTGGGAAGTAGGTATATTTAGTATCCCTATTTTACAGATGGGAAAACTGAGGTAGACAGAGGTTAAGTGACTTGCCCAAGGTCAACTACAAGTGTTTAAAGCCAGTGAACTCAGGTCTTTCTGACTTGAAGTTCAGTACTCTTATCTACTGTACTACCAGCTGCTTCTAATTTAATCTAATAATTTACATTTATATAGTACTTGAAGGTTTATAACGGGCTTTTCTCACAGCAGCCCTATGAGGTAGGTAGTGTCAGTGTGCTTAAGCCCAGATGAAGAATCTGAGATCAAGTACCTTGCTCTCAGGGTGATTCAGTTCCTAAGAGTCCAAAGCAGGAATGAATCACAGGCCCCTCCTCCTTCCAAGTGGAGGGCTCCTCCCCCTCTATCACACTGCCTTCCTACAGAAGAGTCAACCCAGACTACAGGGCTAGTGGCCAAGGCCATGGCCAATGCATATTTAAATATCTCAAGAATTAGATGCAGTGGTGGTTTGTGGGTTGGTTTTTATTTTCATTTTCACTGTTTATAGGGTACCTCACTATGGCATTGTAGGCCTGCTCTTCTGAAGAGGTCATGACTCACTGGTTCCCTAATTAACCAGCTCCATAGTAGGAGTGGAGATTAGGACCAGGGGAACCACAGGTAAGCAGAGAGAGATGGAGAGGGGGGCAGAGTTTGTTAGAGGGTGAGAGATATGGTTTGCAAAGCTAGCTAAGGAAAATGTAGGAGTCTTCATGCAAGACAGACAGTGCTACAAAGCAACCAGATGCCCTCCAAGCTAGCCTACAAAGAAGCCAAACAGATAAATGTTTCTTCTGTTCTTAAATTCTTCAAGAAAGGAGGTTTCACAGTTCCTTCCAGTACTTGCCTAGGTTTTAAAAACCTTGCATCAGGAAGTCTTATCTCTAACCTGAATGCCTGCCTCTCATCCTCTATTCTCTCTGTTGAGATGGAGATCTGGTCATCCTTAAAGGCCATCCAGACTGGAAGCCTACAACTATCTTGCCCCTCAGCCTTCTCTCTTTGCCTCAGAGAGTTTCCTCTTCCTTTAATCTCCTGGGCTTTAAGGCAAATGAGAAATCTGACAAAGTCTCTTTTGCCCTGGATTGAAGAGGCCCTGGCCAGACCTCCCTCCCTCCCCCCCACCTATCCTAGGCCCTGCTCACCTGGATGTCCAAGTTGAGCTGCTCCCAAAGGTCATCATGCAGGGCAGAGACCTCCCCCTCTAGAGTTTCATACTCTATCGTGCTGTTAGTCAAAGCCTGTAGCAAGTGGGGAGGAGAGGATGGCTGAGAAAGCCTCATCACCAACACGTTCCCCTCCCCCACTCCAGTCCTGGGAAGCAGGAGCCAGGTGATCCAGAGATGGAGGCCAAAATGAGAAGCTAGGGGGTGCTGGGATGCCCATGTTGGGCACAGAAAGTCCTTGGAGGCACATGAAGAGCAAAAAGGAAAAGGCCCAGGAAACAGAAACCCTTGTGTTGGTTAAATCATGGCAGGAAATAGGAGAGTCCTTTCTCCTTCCCCTCCCCCCCCCCCGACACCCCTATATACAACCTCTAGCAATAGAACCAGAAATCACTCCTCCCCCACCAGAGGATGTTAGTTGGAAATAAGGGCTTAAAAGTAAAAAGAAATTAAAACTCTCCTTCAGCCCAAGCATGTGGGTGGGCAGGAAGAGGTTAATTCTGTGCCCTTCCCCCTCCCCAGGCCTGCTCATTCCAGTTGGCTAGAAAGCAAAGAAACTAGGCAGAGAGAAGGCAACAAAGAGGAGGGCCTGTTAGAAAATTGTGCCCCAGCCAGGAGGAGGCTTCATTCCCTGGAGTCATGGAATCAACCACTGTGGGGGAAGAGGGGGTAACCTCAGCCCTCATCTCGTCCAACCCCACTCCACCTCCGGATGAGTCCCAAAGTCTACCTGGTTAGTGGCAAAGGGGATGATTTCATCTATTTCACTGTCCATAAACTATATGCCTGTTACTCATTTACAAGGCTACCATTTACCACAGGCCAGAAGGGGATGCCCTGTTCATCACCGTGGGTTTGCTAAAAGGCTGAATATCTGGGAGCTGATGGGGAGAACTGCTCCTCCCCTCCCCCAGTTACCGTAGTGGCCTGGGACAACTCGACCCGAATGTTGATCAGCTGGTTCTGCAAGGATTCCTTTTTATGTAGTAGCTTCTCAGGATAGGAGGGCTGGCTCCCAAACATCTCCATCTCCTGGTGGGTGCCCATCAGAGCACTCTCCAGGCTCTCCTGCAAACGGGGAGAGGAAGGGTGATGATGAGAAGTGTTGGATCCCCCCTACAGGACAATGAGGCTGGTGCCATCTGGTGCCATCATGGGGATTTGACCAGCTTACTCCAGGAAAGCTTCAACCCGCCCTGTTCTCCCTGGGCCACTGGGGATGAGCGCTCAGTTAAAGGTATCATAGAAACAGTCGTTCCTCTGTTATGGATGAATGGAGATGGCAAACCACCTCTCTGGCCCATTCCATCGATCTCGGGATACCTTCAGGGCCCTCACCTTCTCTGCCCGGAGCTGCTGCACAAGTCGGTCCTGTTCTCTCACCACCTTGTTCTGCTCACATAGCTTACCCAGGAGTTTCTGAGGTCCAGAGAAAAAAGACAGGGAAAAGAAAAGGAAGATGAACAATTTAAATCATGGGATCTGGGGAGCTGAGTTGCCTGGCTCATTCACCAGATACTACCATCCTGCTGAGATGCACCATATCCCCCAGTGCCCTGGACTTTCTAAAACTCTATGGACTCTATAGTTACCTATGCAACAGAGAAATAGAAGGATGGGCCCTTCACTCTGGAAGGGACCCTGCCCAAGACCCCATTGGGAAAGAGGGCACAAGCACATTCCTTAAGTGAGTCACCTAACAACCAAGGAGCTAAGCCTTGATTGTGCCCAGCAGCGCCTTCTACCGTGCCCTGGCGCTCAATCTGAAGTGAGCGGCATAGTAGGAAGAGCACTGGAACAGCAACTGGAAGGCTTGGGTTCTGCCTCTTACTAGCTATGCGATCCTGGGCCACACACTTAACTTCTCTGATCCTCAGTTTCTTCATCTGTAAAATGGAATAATAACACTTGCAGCAGAAGGGTAGCAGAGTAGAGAACATAGAGGTCTGGGCTGGGAGTCGAGAAGGCTTGGGCTGAAGTCCTGTCTTTGCCATACATCAGCTGTGTGGCCAAGGACAAATCACCCACCCCCTCGATGTGACTCTTATCACAGAGGAGTTGCTAATCTCTGTTGGCAGAGAGGGGTTTCTATACCGGGAATTCCCCCTAATTAATCAATGTTTAGGTCCAGACTTCACTACCTCCTTCATATGATTGTAATCAAATGATCACATTTGATAAATCAAAGAGATTACAATTACTGAGACCTAGGATCTTTTGGAATTACAACACAGCGAACAGACCACTAAATTTAGGCTTGGCTCTCTCCTTTCTTCCAAGGATAACTAACATTCCTACAGGACTTTAAGGTTTTTGAAGAACTTTCCTCATAATCCTCTAAGGTAAGTACTATCAGAATTATTATCTTCATTCTACAGATAAGGAAACTGAGTCTCTGAGCAGTTAAATGGCTCAGAGTTACACTGCCAGGAAATATCAACAGCAGGATTCAAACCCAGGTCTCCTGACTTCAAGTCTTACCCATGATGCTATGGCCTGGGGCTTCTAGGCCCCCTAGCCCAGGCCAACTCCCCTGCAGTCTCTCTCCTGGTTTTAATGGCAGCTGAAGGCAGTCACTGATAAGTAGGCTGCCAGTGATGTGGGGGAAGGGGAATTTATTGAGGCATATTCGGCTAAAGGTGGTCCTTCTGCCACACCAAAATATCCCCCTTGCCTCTTTCTTATTTAAATCCTACCCATTGTTCGGGGTCCAGCTCAGGTCCTATTTCTTCCACAAGGCCTCTGACCACTCCAGCTCATACCTCCCTGTCCTTCCTATGACCTTGTAGGCCTCTTAAATACTCTTCACGTGGCATTTACTACATACTGAGAAGGGAAAGGGAAAGGAATAAACATTCATATAGCACCTACTCTGTGTCAGGCGTGGGCAGCTAGGTGGTACAGTGGACAGAGTACCAGGCCTGGAGTCAGGAAGACTCATCTTCCTGAGTTCAAATCTGGGCTCAGACAGTGTGACCCTGGGCAAGCCACTTAACTCTGTTTGCCTCAGTTTCCTCAGCTGTAAAATAAGTTGGCCAACCACTGTAATATCTTTGGTAAGAAAACCCTAAATGGGATCATGAAGAGCTGGAAACAATTGAAACAACTAAACACAACAAAAATGTGCCAGGCACTGTGCTAAATACTTAAAAAAACCCCAACAAATATTGTATCATTTGATCCTCACAACAACCCTGTAAAATAGATGATGTTGTTATGCTGAATTTACAGATGAAGAAACTGAGGTAGATAGAGGTTAAATGACTTGTCCAGGGTCACACGGCACCTGAAGCAGGATTAGAACTCAGATTTTCCTGACTCGAAGTCTGATGCTGTATCCATTGCATCGCTAGTTGCCTCTTATATTAGAGGCTGGTTTATCTTTCCACGTATGCAGTATTGTCTTCCCAGCTAGGATCAGAGTTCTAGTTCTAGAGCACATCTCTAGGTCTAGAGCTAGACAGGACATCTAGTCTAAGTCTCTCATTTCTACCTAGTCTCTGAAGAGGTGCTGGGAAGTTAATTGACTCATCATCTGAGGTCACACAGGTAGTAAGCATCAAAGGTTTAAACTCAGGTCCTCTGACTTCAGAGTCAGTGCTCTTCCCACCGAACCACACTGCCTCCCTTGAAGACTATAAGCTCTTTGAAAGCAGGAACTACAGAGTAAGTGGCCAATAAATCTTGGCTAACTGATTGCTCCCCTCCCCTCCCCTCCCCCACCTCCACAAATCCCACGTTCCATGGTCAGGGAAGGGCCATGGACCTAAGAATAACCCACTCTTCCACCTGTGTAAGACTCAGTGATGGGATCCGAGCCTAAGAGAAGTGTATACACAAAAAAGAATAGGAAGGAAGGAAGAAAAAGTGAGCAGCTGGGTTGGAGGAGGTGAGAAAAGTTGGGTGGGCTGTGTCTGTGACAAAGAGTCCGAGTCAAATGGATGGGAAACCAATGGCAAGAAAGATGGATGGAAAGAGAAACTCCATGGAGGAGAGGGCAGATGAGGGACGACAGCAGGAAGAGCCTGGACTGGACAGAGGAAGCAGGGAGAGCTGCTCTTACATCGGTATCTTGCTCGTTGAACTTGTAGGTATGGACGCCATCCCGGTACACCTCTGGGTAAGAAGGAACCTGTTGGAGAAAAAGCTGGTTACTATGGCAGCGATGATAAGATTGGAGGTGGTGAGGATGCTGACCTCCCAGCTTTCATCCAGCTGTTGTTCAAGGCCAACTTGCATCAGCACCTTTGGCTTCGGCTACAACATCTGGGCTGGAACCGTGCTCTGTTCTACTGGCTGAAGGACTTGGGATAGATTTCTCAGTCTTTGCCTCAGTCCCCATCACTGAGATGGGGACACCCCTGCCTCTTGTTCTCTGAAGTCAGGTAGATTTGGGGGATTACTTAGAGGTGTTAGTCACACTCACTTCTCAGCCCCTCCCCCTGTAATCCCTGCCCCCACCTTTTGAGGTCTGCTGCAGTGCTGAGATGAAGAGAATTCAGAGTGGCATGACTTTGAATGACTCACTTGGGTGGCAGCAGGGACTGTAAGCTGACTGTTTAGGGAAGGGGGTGCTTCTGTTGCAGTGAGTAATGGTAGCAATGTAGGATGAAAATGTTCGAGAGCCAACTCTACTAGACAGAGAACCAGACAGAGCTCAGCCTACGCCCAGAAGTGACAAGAGCTCAGAAGAGATTCTGTGGCTAGGAAGTCAGTCCCACCTGGTGAGAAGGCCATATCATTCCCCTAGGTTCCTGGCATTGGGATGGCTCTGAACAGTCCTATCCAAACCCTTAGCCCAATCTGCTCCTGTCAAGAAGGGAGCAGATTTTCAAAACAGGAGTTCTGGGCAATGAAAGATAATGCCTACCCACCCCCAGAGGCCTGGTGATCCCAGGGCAGCATGAGATGTTGGCATTGTCCAGGTGCTGCATGGATGACTTTGATGGAATGGCAAATGGGCTTTGATGCTCCCCATGGAAGTGAAGAGCACCAGAGCCATGCTAATGTTGAGAAAGGGAAATTGGGCTGAGCGCATTTCAATGGAGATGACACTTGGTAGATGGGAACACAGGGCAGAGGAGGCCCTTCTCCTGGATGGGTTGGTTCTGCCATGCACAAGCAGCTGAAATGACATTAGCAGTGAATGCTGCTAGGCAGGGGTCTTACTTGCATGAATAGCTGGGCCCTGGGGGAAGAATTTTCCACCATTCGGTTCACCATACTGATGAGAGTCTCACTCTCATTCATCTGCAGCAAAGGGAGGAAGGGACAGTTCAGACAGACAAGCACACAAGCATACATACATGACCACACACACACACACACACACAACACACACACCACACACACACTCTTTCTTCTTGTTGCCAGGTTTCCCCACCTATGCCACTTGATGTGACCTTAGGTTTGGTTTAGGAAAAGGGAAAAGTGGCGATCTGTCAGCTTTCTCTCTGGGCATCTAGACACATCCCCTGTGTGGTTCATCTATGTTTCCCTTCTTTTTGTGCTTTCTCTTCCTGAAATTCGTCTCAGGAGATATATCACAGCTACCCTACAACAGGGGCTTGAGGAGGGGCAGGAGGCTACTATACCAATGCAGACAAGGTTCAAACAAACAAACAAACAAACAACAAAAAACCCGCCCCACAAACGTCTTTGCCAGTCTGCCACTCTTTAAGGGCCCCAGTGAGATTCACCAAAGCCACATTCCCTTCCCCATTCCTGTTCTTCAGCTCCCCACTCTGCTCAGTTCAAAGAACACAACGAGGCATTCTGCAAGGTAAAAGAGGCCTGATCTGGCTAAATCCCTTCAGGCTCGCTACCCAAATGGCTGCTCTCCTGAAATACTGAACTAAACCAGAAAAGGGAAAAGCCAAAAACCAAAGCCCTGCTGGACAGACAGGTAGACCTTCCGCAAACAGGTGCCTGGAGCTTTCTTGTGAGATCCCACCCCACCCCCGCTGACTCTACAGCAAAATGACATTGCTAATCACAGTTTCCAGAGCTGGGCCGTTACTGTTGCATCCAGGGAAAGCTTGGATGAGGCTGCAGAGCAAACAAGGAGGCTGAACCAAGCAAGCTATGTTAAAGGGACGACAGAGGCTGATGAGAGAGCAGCTCTGGGCCTTGGAGGGTCATCCAGTCCGGCCCGCCGTATCATGGCTAAGGGTGAGGAGACACAAAATAACACGGAACAGGATCGGGAAATGAGTCTGCAATTAAATGGCATTCTGTTGCTATGAAGAAGAAACTGCAGGCAGGACTCTAATTTTTTAACCTGCTAGATCTCTAAAGTTCAAGGGGCATTAGGGACACAAAAAGGTGAAACGCCAAATTTTTTTTTTAATGGTAAGAAAAGCACATGGATGCCCTCTGCTTGTTTTCAGATTGGGAACATCAGACAACCAATAGGGTAGGAAATGTCTTTGACTGTGTCCCTTTAACGCAATCACTCCAAAGGAGAAGAGAGCGAAAGACAGAGGAGCTTTGTAGGGAGAGGAAGAGGGGAGCAGGCTGCGGAGGCAGCTAGGAGTAGACAGGTTAGGAGAAGCAGGTGAAGAGGTTTTCCCAAGGTCACACAACTAGTTGGTGGCCAAGCTGGGCTTTGAGCCCAGGTCCTGACTCCAAATACAGTGTTCTTTCCATGGAATCACGTAGCTGGGGCTGTAGTCATGGAGAAGTCCTCTTACTTAAGAGATTTATGCCTACCCTTCACATACCCTTTAGCTCTACCCAAACACACATGTGGTTCTCGGTCCCCATTCCAGGGTCTGGAGGAGTTGTATCTGCCTTTCAGCTGAGCAGGCAGAAATGTGAAGACAAATGTTTGCACTAGTCTTAAAAACCATTAGCCCTGGAACTTCTTTCTCTTCTCCAAGACTCTGCTAATAGCCACATTGACTTACCTCATATATGGCCTTTCACTCAACTCTGCCCCTCACCTCTCCCAGTGAGATGTGTTTGTGGAAATGTGGGGGAATTAAGTGAGGGTGATGTTGTTAAAAATTTTTCAGTTGTATCTGACTCTTCACGACCCCATTTGAGATTTTCTTGGCAAAGATATCAGAGTGGTTTGCATTTCCTTCTCCAGCTCATTTTACAGATGAGGAAACTAAGGCGAACAGGGTTAAGTGACTTGCCCAGGGTCACTCAGCTAGTAAGTGTCTCAGGCCAGATTTGAACCCAGAAGATAAGTCTTCCTGAGTCCAGGCCTAGTACTCTATCCACTGGGCCACCTAGCTAACCCTCCTGTCAATGCTTCAGTCCAACTGGGACAAAGATTTTCTGACCCTTCTCTCCCAGCTAGATGAAGTAATAAATCAACAAATTTCTATTAAGCACCTACAATGTGCCAGGCACTGTGTGTACACATACAGATACATGAACAAGGGAAAGCTGGAAAGGGGAAGGAAGGGAGGAAAGCTGCCATCTCCTCTCGGTGGCAAAAAATACCTTCAGAGACACCCAGTGTATGCGCTTCCAGGCATCTGTCGATCTCACTTCTCCTTCTGGCTGACCTCAGGGGAGGAAAGGGTCGGAGATGAAGGAGAGATGCTGATTTCGGAATGGGCGTCAAGAGACTGAGGAGTTCTGGCCCAGACTCACCGTCTATGATACTAAACAATTCACAGGCTCCGTGGATCGGTTTCCCCCTCCTAAGGGGATCCTCTTTGGCTCTCCCTGATTTCCAGGGATGATGTAAGGGGCAATGAGGCAAGAAAAGAGATCATGAGATTCAGACCTGGAAGAAACATCAGGAGTCATCTGGTCCAAGCTCCTTATTTTACATGAGGAAACTGAGGCCCAGAGAGCTTATGAGACTTTCACAGTGGCAGAGCCAGGATCAGAATCCAAGTCTTCTAATCTCTGACTCGGTATTTCCCCCATTACATCTCTGCTCAAAGATCCTAGCTAACACAGTGCCTTGTAAATATAGTAGGTGCTCCAAACATACTTACTAACTTTTGGGAAATACCAGTGAATGTAAAGCATTATTCTAAGCAATCATCTCATCTGCAGGGCAGCCATGTGAAAAGTCGGTTTATGAGAAGCATCTAGGTTGATGGAATAGCCTTTGTCCTAGGACAGGAAGGGCTACAGGAAGGGACATAACTCTCCTCTTGTTGGGTTCTGAAAGGATAGCGCTGGAGGAGAGAGAAGCCCAGGTGTCACATGTTAGAAGGACCTGGGGTCAGGAGTGGGGATAATGCTCTCTCCTTGCAGAATCCCATGCAAGTTCAGCATTCTGGGGCTGGGATCAGAATGGAGGCTTGGGGATTCTCTCTAGGGGATTCAAAGATTTGGAGCTGGGAAAGTACTTAGAGAAATTATCCCTTTAGTCTAGTTGTAATCAAAGTATGGGCTGGAAACCTACCTACCCCAAGACACTTTGAGGGTGTCCACAAGGACAAAATTATTTTCATAATAACACTAAGATGTTTTAATTTCTAATACAGTAAATAACAAAACATATAACCCACATAAACAAAAGCTCTTTGGGAGAAGGGGGTACTTGATAATTTTTAAGAGTATAAAGGGGCTGGCTGTGTGACCCTGAACAAGTCACCTAACCCTGATTGCTTCAACAACAACAACAAAAAAAGAGTATAAAGGGGTCCTGAGACCAAACAATTTGAAAACCACTGATGTATAGTTTACAAATGAGGAAACGAGCCGCGAGAGAGGAAATGATTTGGCCACGGCCCAGCTCCTTTCACTGATGTGGACATGGGAGCATGAGCTCCCAAGGAGCAAGGACGAAGTCCTCTGGATTCTTCTTCATTCCCAGAGCGCCTGAGCCCAGGAGGGGCACAGAGCAGGTGCACATCAACACTTAAGGGTTCTGTGATTTCATTGGTTGAGGAACTTCCTCCAGCAACCAGCTCATAAGCCTTCAAGTCTCAGGTAAAGCCCTTTAAATCTCAACTAAAATCCCACCTTCTTCAAGCAGATTGACCTGATCCCCCTTAATGCTGGCGCCTTCCCTCTGAGATGATCTCTATTTGATTCTGTCTCTCTCTTGTTTGTACGTAGTTGTTTTCATGTTGCCCCCCCATTAGAATTTAAGCTCATTCAGGCAAGGGACAGTTTTCACTCTCCTGTTCATTCTTGGTGCTTAGTACAATGCTTGGCACATCGTAGGCACTTTTCAACCCCTTTTCAACTCTGTAAGGGCAGTTAGGTGGTATAGCAAATAGAGTGCTGGAACTGGAGTCAGGAAGAACTGAGTTCAAATCCAGCCTCAGAAACTTATTAGCTGTGTGACCTTGGGTAAGTCATTTCACCCTATTTGCTTCAGTTTCCTTATCTGTAAAATGAGCTGGAGAAGGAAATGGCAAACCACTCCACTATCTTTGCTGAGAAAACCCCAACTGGGGTCACCAAGAGTTGGACGCGACTGAAAAATGACTGAACAGCAGCATCAGTTTCAACTTTGTTGATAGTCTTCTGGAGCTGCTATCCCCTCTAGGGATGCCCCTTTCTGAACTTAGTTAGGCCTGTCTTTGATAGACCATGCTGAGTCAGTGCTGAGCAGAGAGGTTAAGCAAATTGAAGTATCTCTAGAAGGACCTACCAGGGCTTGCCTGCCTCTGGCATAGGTTTCCAGAAAAGAAGTCCATCACCAAACCAGGAAGGACCTCCAAGGAATGTTTGGCTGGATAAGATGTTCCATCAATACTTGTTAAATTGAGCTAAAGACAAGAAGAGTGGGTCTCATGATCTTCTCAGCCATAAGAGGCAGGGAGGCACCTTGGGTGTCAGGACCCTTAAGTCTCAAACCTACTTCTGCCAAACTTGGCCTTAAACAAGATGCTTAATTTCTCTGGGCCTCAGTTGACATATTATAGAGTTCACCCTTCCTGGAATGTTTTAAAGACCTGAGATTTAAGCCAGTGTGATTTAAATCACACTCTCCATCAATATGGACTGAAGCTCCACAAACCTAAGCAGACGGCCTTTATGAGCTGCGGTAGTCAAAGGCATTCATTGTCCAGTGGCCAGTATTATGCAATGAACTTAGCCAGGCTGGTCTCCTTTCTCTAGACCTTTCCAACTTGGTAAGATCAGCTATAGATAAGCACAAATGCTTTTTGAAAACCTAGCTGAGGCATAACAGAAGGGAAATAGTAGAAGTGACCCTCTGTGGACAACAGGGAGAGGAAATCTGCTGTCACTGCTACTCTGTCTTGCCCACAGGGCTAGACATGGAGGAACGAATATCCCTAGGGCAGACTGGGCACATGCCTAGGTCTGAGGCTGTCTCTGCAAAGGCTCAGGCCACAGCTGCTCCCTTCTCTACTCCTGGAAAAATACAAATTCCCATCTACTTTCTGGGGTTAGTCTAGGGCTGGGTATTATAAAACAGGAGGTGGTATTCATTGTTCGTGTAATCCTTTATGGTTCTCTCTCTTCCTCACCACCCCCAGCTCTAAAGGGCTCTGAAGAGGAAGGGCGTAGGAGCAAACAAACAAAAAGACCGGCCACTTTGCTGTATCCTGGGCATGCCAACAAAGATTATAAAATGGAGGATGGTGGATGATGGATGAGAGATGGGAGATGGCGGATAGCGGGTGGGGGATGGGGTGGGTGGGCGGGGCAGAGGACAGCCAGGGTGAGGTGGGGCCAGGAGAAGAAACAGGAGGGATCAGGATGGAGAGGGACGCACCAGCTCTGGCCTACCTGCTGATCCAAATACTCTAGGTTTCTTTGCAAGTGAAGATCTAAAAGTTCGTCCTACCAAGAGGCCAAGAGGCCCCCCATCAGCAACACAAACAAACAGGAACAGGACAAAAAACAACAACAGAAAAGAAGAAGCAAAGCAGTTAGGTGTTAGTTGGGCAAAGAGGAGTAGCCTCTCTGGGTCCTGAGGGATCCCAGAGAGGGGACTGCCAGCATGGGGAAGAAAAGATGAGGATGCTTAGACTAGGCACTTTGGGGTTGTTTTTCCAGCAGTTCTCCGCAGAACACTCCCCACTAGAAAAGCAGTTGTCCCTCGAATGATGCCCTCCTGCCCACCTCCCCTGAGTCAGGACGACCCACACTGCCCCTCACCTGGGGGACGCCCAGGCTGCTCTGACTCTGAGCAAACAACCCCCTCCCCACTGCTCCTGGGGTCTTCTGCGTCTCAGCTGGGAGTGGAGAGTAAGTGAGTCTGGGAGCAGGGACAGGAGGAGGATCCTGGAATATCAAGTCAGGTTTGTGGTAGGAAGCAGGAAGACAAAGAACCAAGTGAGTGGCCCCTATTGCCCTCATCTGCAGCCTGTGAGTTCCGCTGCTACCGTCTTCCTGGGCTCTTCTTTGTGGGGAGTGGGCTCAGAGCTGGGTTCCTGGGGGATCTGGGGAAGGGACTCTTTCTGACATCACAAGGGATGCTGGAGCTAAAAGCTAAGGCAGAAATCTAAAGAATCCAACCTTGTCACTTCACAGCAGAGGACGCTGAAGTCCACAGGAGTGAAGTGACTTGAGGAAGGTCACCCAGCTGTCACACAGTGGCCAAGCTGTTCCTTTAGGTAAAACATCTGTTCTACTGCATGGGCAACTGGAAGCCTCAGGAGAGAACATTCCAGGGACAGACAGAAGTGGGATGAGGAGAGAGGAATAAAGTAATCGGGAGGGAGATTCATATGGGGGAGGCTCCCCCATCCGCTATGCCCCTAGAGCTCCTCCCTTAGTTAATGTCCCCTAGACTGGCATCAGAAGACAGTGGACATTTCTGGAGCAGATAAGTCGTAGGGATATACTTCAGGGAGGAGCTGAGGGGAGATTGCAGCTCTGGAAGTTACTCATCCCTTTGCCCAGGGCCGGCCCAGCCGTGGCCCTGGGAATGATCTTCCTGTCTCTCCCCATCACCAGCGTCTCTGGTCTATGCCCCCCTCTCCCATATCCTGGAGAGGAGCTATCAGTCATGGTAAGATGCCTAGAATTCAAAATTCCTTCAGGCTTTTCCCCTGGTCATTCATCCAAGAGTCCAGAGAAGGGTACAGGGGCAGAGTGGGTCCCCTGTGCTAATTGATGCCAGGCTCAGATGAGAAGGTGAGCAGAGATGATGTCCTATGGCTACTTTCTAAGAGACAAATGAGTCCAGCATCAGGCCCAAGGCATGTCTGAGCCCTGTCCCAACTCATCCTTCAAGGTTGGGGGCAGGTAGGAGGGAAAAAGGGAAAGAGATCCTGAGAAGGGTATGGTGGGAGTGAGGAACATACCATTTTGTCGTGGACAGTGGGAGATGGTGGATAGTTGTAAGGGAATAAACCTGCAGGAACAGGCCGCCGATCACCCAGGTAATCATACTGGAAGACAAAGCAGGTGAGGCGGTGAGGTCGTCATGGGGTGGACTCCCTCAGCTATATGTCTGAGGACATCCTCCCCATTCCCTCCAAGAGCAGAGCCCATGCAGAAGGGGACACCAGCTGCTCCCTCCCTAACAACGGGTATCGAGTCTTAAAAGAATGAGCAGCTCCTTCTCTCCCTTCCCATATGTACAGTAAGAGAATGTGGTTTCCAGCACAGTAAATGGACAGCCACAAGGCAAGGTCCCTGCTGACGAACAATCAGTCAATAAACATTCATTAAGCACCGACTCTGCCAGGCACTGGACTAAATGTTGGGGATGTAAAAGAAGCAAAAGACAGTCCCTGCCCTCAAGGAGCTTACAATTTAAGGAACAGAGGGACTGAGGTTGATGGGATGGCAGAAAGCCACTTCCCCTGTTATGCTGGCTTAGTGTTATCGTAGACAGAAAAACTGGAAGATGGCTCGGAGATGATGTGATCCAGTCCCCTTATTTTTATGACTGAGAAGGGTAAGGCCTAGGGAAATGAAGTGGCTGGCCCAGAGCCAAAAGGCTGATGAAAAGAAGAGCCAGCGTGAAAACTCGAGCCTTCTATTTCACCATGCCGTCCTCCCCTATGGGTGTCTTCACAGATCCCTTCCCCCCCTTCATTCCTCCTGTGTCTCCCCTAGACGTCTTCCTTAGAGCCCTTGGGGGGAGTCAAAGGGCAGGACTGAAGTTAAGGAAGCTCACCTTGGGGGAGCTGACAGATCTCCTCATCACGTAGGCAGCAGGGTCTGCAAAGATGTCCTCACTTCGAGGCGGCAGTCTCTCAAAGCGGGCACTCGGTGACCGAGCAGGGGAGTAGACGCGAGCCCGGCTGTAAGATCCCTGACTAGGTGACCGGGGCACAGAGTGGGAACGAGGCTGCAGAGAGAGGCGGCGAAGGGAACCCGAGGCAGCGTCCAGTTCATCATAGTAGACGGGCTGCCGGGCAGGGCTGGGGATCCAGACGGTGCCATCCTGACGCCCATAGCCAGGAGGTTCCTTCCACTCCCGGAGCTGGTAGGCAGTGCTGCCCCCATTTCGAAAGGAGTGGCGCTTCTCCTCCAAGGTCCAGGGAGGGCTGATCCGATCATAGGCTGGCATTGAGCAGATACTGTCTGGGCGCACCCCGGCGGGGTAGTACTGGTAATCGTCCGGGTACTGGGGGGAGTAAGAGCTGTAATAGTCAGGGACTCGGCGGGACACAGGGTAGAACCTGGAGGGGCTGAGGAAAAAAAGAGAGGGGATAGAATCACAAATCCATAATTTGTTGATGATGTTGAAAGAGATGTTAGGGATCATCTTATCCACGAGCTCTCGACCTGTGAGCCACTGAGCCCCAGGGGTCCACCTAGTTATTCTAAATCAGAGTTCTTCAATCCACATGCAAATCAATAAATAAGCAAATACCTCTTTTATAGAATGGGTTAATAATGTCTCTAATATGTGTATATTACATACGTACAGATTAAGAGTGATAGAGTGAAAAGATAGCTGGTCTTAGAGAGGTCTCAAGAGACCTGGGTTCAAATCCTGAATCTGGCATGAGTTATATAACTCAGGGTGGGGTCCTCAATTTCCTCAGTTGTAAAATGGGGATAATAACTCTTGTCCTACCTCTCTGCCATGCAGAATTGTTGTAAGAAAAGGACTACGCTAACAGAAAAGCCTAGGATACAGATTTCATCTGTATAGGGAATTCCCAGTGAGGAACCTCTCTCCTCCAACTCAATCAGCACCTGCTCCACAACCCACAGTCTGACGTTGCCTGGTCACTGAAACAGTCAATGATTTGCCCAGGGTCGCACAGCTAATATGTATTAGAAGTGGGATTAGGAATATTCCTGAGTTCATGGCCAGCTTTCTGTCCCCTACACTACAGCTGTTGTTGAATCATTTTCAGTTGTGTCCAACTCTCCATGACCCCATTTGAGGTTTTCTCGGCAAAGATACTGGAGTGATTTGCCATTTCCTTCTTCAGCTCATTTTAACAGATGAGTAAACTGAGGCAGTGTGAAGTGACTTGCCCAGGGTCACACAGCTACTACCTAGCCACTATAGCTACCTTTTTATAAAACCAGTATAAATGAGTTATTCTTCTACAGCTTCCCCAGGGACCAATTCTAGTGTTTATTCATCAACTCCCCTGCCAGAAAGTTCTCTCCTAAGGCTAACTAAAACCCTCCTTGCTTTGACAGAAGCCTGTGATCTTTGAGAAAATCTCCATGCTTTCGGAGGGTGACTTTGACAGCTTGGTAGAGGATGGATTGGAGAGGGGATAGTAGAAGCCAGAAGACCAATTTCAGAGGCTGCTGTGATTGTCTGGGTAAGAGGTGACAAGGGCCAGAACTAAGCTGGTAGTTCTGAGTCTTGAGGAGAGGACAAGAGGTGCTATGGTTGCAAAGCTGACAAGACACTGATTAGACGTGGGGGTGGGGATGAGGGAGAGAGAAGGCTCAAGGATAGCTTCCAGCTTACAAATCTAGGTAACTAGAAGAATAGTGGTGCTCTCAACTGAAGCTGGCAAGTTTGGAGAAAGGATGGGATGGGGGCAGGGGAGATAGTGAGTTCAGTTAAGCTTGGTATATCTATGGGACATCCAGGTGATGATGTGTGACTAGATTTCAGGAGAGGGATTAAGGCTGGATACATAGATGGGGAATCATTAGTATCTGTCCAAAACCTGTAACCATCAGGCTGGCTCTGGAGGGCAGAGCCTACCACCCCAGCCCAAACCCCACATGTGGGAGCTCAAAGGCAGACCCGACCAAATCAGCACCTGCCTCCAGCTTAGATCCCACCAGTATCTCCTTTTTCTACTGGTTGTGACCCTAGGCTCTTCCAGGCTTCTGGTTGGTAGAAGATATGGCTGTTCACATTGTTTCAACAGCAAGGAGTGACAGACTACCATTCTTCTGAAAAGATGGGGGACCTCCGAGTACCCTTTGTCCTGCTACTGTGCCCTCCAAACCCTTGTGGCATTGTCATTTGCCCTCCTGCTAGTCCCTAAAGACCACGGAGCCTTTCCATATGCTCTGTGACTGCACTCTCCTACATATGGGATCTTCTCCAATTAGAACGTGAGCTGTCAGCAGAGATATGATCTCGATTTTCTGTTTATAACCCCAGGACGCAGAGCTTGACGCAGCACACAATGCTTTTTCGTTCTCTCATCTGTGAAGAGATGATAATTGAACCAGCGCCATCAGCAAAAAAAAAAAAAGAGGGTAACTGATCTCTGAGGTATTCTCCAACTCTAAAACCATAATTTTATGAACTCTTTGATCTAGTCTTACCCCATCACTATACAGATGAGGAAACTGAGGCTGGAAGAATTCAGATGACTCCCCTAGAGTCACAAAGCCAGTAAGTGGTGGCACTGGGCCTAGAAATCCAAGTCCTCTAGCTCTGGGCCATCAGTCTTTCTATGACATCACACTGCTGGGCATTTCTCCACCTCCACCACCACTCCCCCATCCCTCCTTCCCTCTACTCATTCCATGTCCTCCAAGTTAGGAATAGTAATAATAACAATAGCTGACACTTGTATAGTTCTTTAAAATTTGGAAGACACTTCTCATGTATCATCTCATTTGATCCTTTCGACAACCCTGCGGAGGGTGTCGGGAGGTGCCATTATTATCCCCATTTTACAGATGAGGAAACTAGGGCAAACAAAAGTTAAGAGACTTTCCCCAGGTCACACAGCCAGTAAATGTTTGAAACTAGATTTGAACTCAGTTCTTCTTGACTCCAACTCTGGCATTCTGTCTACTATACCACCTAGTTGCCCTTATAGCATAACCAATAAAACACTCACTCGCAGAGAGTAAATGACTATCTGGTGCTGGCCTTACACATAGGTGGGTTAGTGGTGTGTGGTATATGATAAAGAGCATGGGATCTGGAGTTAGGTTCCGAGTTTAAACCATGGCTCTGCTGTTAACCCCCCATGTGGGCCTCAGTCTCCCCATCCGTAAAATGAGGGTATACAACTAGAAAGTCCCTAAGGTCCCTTTTAGCTCCAAATCCATGATCCTATTTCAGGAGCCAGGGAAGGCCCCTTCCCTTCCCTCTACCCTTCCCACACACAGAACAGCAATACCACTCACATCTTCAACCAGCTCACCACTGCCTAAAATCCTGCTCTTCAAGTTACATCTTTCTGGCTTCTTTTTAAATGCAAAGTCAGCCTCCCCAGAGCACATAAGACATTCTTCATTTATACCTCAGCATAAATGGAAGCAGATCCCAGGACTCATACTAGAATGGAAGTATCTCTAGGCAGGGTGTGAAGTCTCCTCTGAGAAGGTTATCCAGACCTACAGAAGGCCAGACAAGGGGCCAAACACCTGGGTGCTCAGGGAACCATTGCTTGCTTTCTCTTAGGCCTGCCCAGGAAAATGGTCCCCAGCAGGGTCAGATGAGCAAAGACTTAGAACTAGATGAAACTATAGAGATCTCTCATTTTACAGATGAGGAAACTGAGGCCACAAGGAATTATTTGACTTGCTTAGGGTCATACAGGTTGTGAAACAGAATCACAGAACCTAGATTTGGGGGTGGAAGTGGACCTAGTATAACTTAGATGTCAGATGTCCAGCATTATCCCTCCCCTCCCTTGTTAGAGATGAAGAAAATGAGGTTCAGGGGAAAAGTCACATAGGTAATAAGTTTAGCAGAACGAAGATGTTCCCAGAGCCACTCCCTTAGGGAGAGATCACCAGGGATAGGAATTAAAACTTCAAAGATAAGGAGGTAAGAGTGGAACAGGTCTGGGCTGAGCTGGTGGGTCCATGAACGTATTTTACTTGATAACACGACTCTGTTCCCAATGAGACACTAGTGGGCACCCTGCCAACCCTTTCCCCAAGCCTCCCCGCTCCCGCCGTGCCTCACCTCCTAAGATCCTCAGGTGGGAGCGCTCCCCGACGTAGGTTCACCCATTGCTGCAGCTGGTTCATAGAGCTCTTGCGCTGAGCGATCTTGTCTGGGTTGGTTCGGGGTGGGAAGCTCCGGCGGTGCCCGATGCCCTCCCCATCCTGGGGTGGAAAAGCAGTGCTCCCTGGCCTGCTGGGCGAACTATATTGCCAGCCATTGGGTTGGGTCCCTCGCTCCCCACCAGGAGGCACACGTGGGGCTTCTGGGTAGGGACTGCCTGGCTCTAATGCTGGCTCTGGTCCAGCCGGGACACCATTGGCTTTCACCAGTGGTTCTTTCTTGACTTCTGGTTGCTCCAGTTTCCGGTCTGTCTTTTCACAGCCTCGGCCATCTCCTTCCCCTCGGGTCTTGGACTCTGGCTCTGGTTTGGGGATGCTATTGCGGGGTTGATGGTGATGATGGTGGTGTTTGCTGGGTGGGATATTCTCCGAGTCGGGCTTCTCAAGGCTTCGGGAGGCCGAAGGTGTGCCTGTCAGTAGATCCAGCCCCTTCCCAGTGCTGAAGCAAGGTTAGGAAAGGAAAGAAAGGTGGGGGAAAAGAGGGAAGAAGGGAAGAGAAAAACAGAAAGGCCCAAGGTAGTAGGGTTTAGGAGTCCACCCCACTCTTGCTTTGCTCCAGCCACATGGACTCATATAAGCCTTGCCAAGCTCTCTCTACCCCAGAGGTTCTTAATCTTTTTAATGTATATCATAGGCCCCTTTGGCAGCCTGGGGAAACCTAGGGACCCTTTCTCAGATTAATGTTTTTAAACACTTGACGGAAATGCTAAATATCAGTTAGAGGTTCAAGAAAATAAGGATGATCTTTTTTCTTCATCCAAGACCCTTTGAAATCTGTCCATGGACCTCAGGTTAAGTACTCCAGCTCTAGCATAGAGCAAGTCATCCATACAGGTCTTCTTCTCCTTCTCTCTTCCCCTCTCCTCTTCACCAACCCACATCCCTCCCACCCTTTAAAACAAAGCTAAAAAACAAAAACAAAAACAAAAACAAAAAAACTCTGCCTCCACATTATACCAAATTGCATACACTGTTTTTTATATTTAACAAGGCTCTGGGCATCCTTCCTTCCTGCTGTGCTCAAAGTCTCTTAGCCTCTTAGACTGGAAGCTCCCTGAGGGTAATGGCTATGTCTCCCCCACTGACCCTAGAAGAAATTAACTTTTTCCCATCAGATGGGAGTTCCCCCAACCACAGTGTTTCCTCTATCAGCCTAGGAATTCCCCAAGGCCAATGATGTTCATCCCCTTCTGAGAGAAGTCTATGTAGCCCCAGTCAGATCAGGGAAGAAATTGCCTCCTATGGTCTCCCCTAATTTTATTAATATGAAAGTACCTGGAGGCACCTGACTTTTTTGCATTTGCATCCCCAACACTTAGCAGAGGGCCTGACACACAGTAAGCACTTAAATATTCATTCATTCATTCATTCATTCATTCATTCCCAGCTCCCAGAGGACAGTGGCTATCTCTTGCATCAGATGGGGAGCAGCCTCTAGCACCAAGACCTTCAAGACCCATATCCTGTGACCAGTACAGGCAGAGCTCTGCCTAGAGGCTGAGTTCAGTAGAAGAGACTAACTCACTTATTAAGCAACACCACTCCACCTTTCCACAGGCCGCTGTTAGACCTGTGGTTCAGTCCCAGACTCTACCAACTGGAGATACAGGAAGTTAGTTAAGACATCAAAGGTTATAGGCCCAAAGCACTGGGATTAGTTGATATGGGAGAGAAGGAGAGGAAACAGGACAGCAGGTTCTCACTTGTGAAATGGAAAGGGACAACCATCTCTATTGAATCAGAGGAAATACAGCTGCATGGCAGCAACAAAATAAATGAACGAATGAATGAAAATAACCTAAATAAAATGACCAAGTGAAATGTGAATGTCAGCTTTATAGGACATTAGACAGTGACTAAGAAACTCATCCCTTGCATCTGTAGTATATAAATCCCTCCTCTTTCTCTGTGCTCATACAGACACTCTTGTATAGGTCCTCAACACCTCTTGCTAGGACCATCAATCAATCAATCAACACTTATTAAGTACCTGCTATGTGCCAGGTACTATGCTAAGTGCTAGGGATACAAAAAAAGGCAAAAGACTGTCCCTGCCCTCAAAGAGCTCACAACTGATGGAAAAGAAAAAAGTGAACAAATATATAAGTATAGACACACACATATAAAAACAAACTATATACAGGATAAGTTGGAAATAATTAACAGAGAGAAGGCACTAGAAATAAGAGGTGTTAAGGAAGGTTTTCTGTATAAGTTGGGACTTTAGTTTGGAATTAAAAGAAGTTGGAAAGGTCAGTAATCAGAGTAGAGAAGTGAGAGCATTCTAGGCAAAGGAGACAGCCAGAAAAAATGCCCACAACTGAGAGATGGAGTGTCTTGTTCATGGAACGGCCAGGAGGCCAGAGTCACTTGATGGAAGAGTACATCTGGCCGAGTGTAAGATTCAATCCATCCCACCATCCCACTGCCAAAGAGATATTCCTAAATTATGAGTCTGACCATGTCATTTCCCCGCTTGATGAACTGAAATGGCTCCCTCTTACTTTTAGGATCAAATATAAATTTCTCTGTTTGGCTTTTGAAGTTCTTCAAAACCTGGCCTCTTCTTACTTTTCCAGTAAATACACCTTACATCTTACTCACTTCCACCAACTCTGTGATCTAACTATACTGACACTCCATTTCCAATTTAATTCATATCTATCTCATAAGTAGATATATGTGCGTTTGTGTGTGTGTGTATGCGCGCGCACACACACACACACGCGCGCGTGTGCTTGTGAGCACACTCACTCACTGTCTTCCTCATCAGGATGTGAGCTTCCCAAAGGCAGGAATTATTCTTGTATTTTCTTGTTATCAGAAACACTTAGTACAACGTCTAGGACATTGTAAGTGCCTAATAGGTGCATGTTGACAGACCATCCCTTGAGAAGTAAGTTCTCCCCTATCAACGCTAGGTCAAAAGTAGTGGAGGCAGGCAGATAAGTAAAATGACCTTTAGAGACCTCACTGGCAGTAGCATTGGGAAGGTCGGGGGGGGGGGTGAGAATGAGGAGGATCCTGAATGTCCTTCTTCCTTGACACCTCCCCACCACCCCCTCTCTCCTCTCTTAGTCCATTGGTGCTTACCTGTGGCGAACAGCTTGAGGGGCTGACCTCTGAGCTGGGGGAATCTGTACCCGGGCTGCCTCACCCATGGCCTGGATCCAGGACTCCTGCTCCTCAGGGCTCTCAGCACTGAAGAAGTAGGTACGGACCCCAGCATGCTCAGCCTGCGGGGAAAGGCAGTTCGTGGGATCGGCCCTGGCCTCTCCTGCCCAGCACACCGTCACCTGCAAAAAGAAGAAACCAAAGCCCACCAAACAGGCAGGCAAGGGGGGGGGTCATTCCCAGGCCATTTTCCTCCTACTTGGTGCTCAAGGCCAATGATGGAAGCTGGGGTTGGGGAGAAACACCCGGAGCTATCCTAGATACTGCAACCAAGATCCAGGTGTTCATTTCGGTCTGCCTACCTGCTCCTGAGGGAGCTGTAGCAGTCACACCACAGGCAGGACAATTAAGCATGCCCATTTCCCCCACTTTCCATTTGATTCCTTATTTTACTCTAAGGACAATCACCCTGGATTTGAGGGAGATTCCATTGCCTGGCACCTACTCGTCTGTCCCTTGGCTTTCCACACCATTTCTCCAGTAGAGGTGGGGTGGGGTGAAGGGAAGACAACCAAGCCTCTATCTCCACAGGCATGCAAGGGGGCATGCACTGTTACGTGGGTGGGACATACTACCTAGTCGGTGGCCACGGGCGGGCACAGCGGGCGGGAACCCGGAGGAGAGCTCCTGTCCAGAGGAGAGGGATCCTCATGCGATGAGAAGGAGGAGAGATAGAGAACAGGTCAACCAACCACCAGAGGGGAGGAGAAGAGAAACAGTAGAAGGGTGGATATAGAGAAGGAGTAAGGAGCAGGGAAGGGAAGGAGGAAGAAGGGCGGTCAGCCAGCCACCAGAGGGGAGGAGAAGAGAAGCAATGAGGAAGAGGAGATAGAGAAGGAGTAAGGAGCAGGACAGGAAAGGGGCAGAAGGGCAGAGAGAGGTAGTCAGCCACAACCCTAGCTCTTTTCCTTTTTTTTTTTTCTGGCTAGGCAATGGGGATAAGTGACTTGTCCAAGGTCACACAGCTAGTAAGTGTTATGTGTCTGAGGCTGGATTTGAACTCAGTGCTTCCTGAATCCAGGGCCAGTGCTCTATCCACTGCCCCACCTAGCTGCCCCCCTCATTTTATTTTAGGGTGGCACAAATCTCTTAGAGGCTTTGCATATTAGTGCCCACCATCCTCTGCTGAATAGAGGAGCTGGCATCAAGGGTGTAGGGACTGGGAGTCAGAGCATAAAACCGGAAGTCAGAACTCCTGGGCCAGCTCTGCCCATACTATCCCTTCATTAATGGTCAGAGTCTAACCTACAGGGCTTAGCACAGTACCTAACACTTAACAGAGGCTTCTAGAGTTGAATTACTGAATCAGATGAGGGCCTCTCTGAGCACTGAGACTGCACCTTCCCTATCACACTGTGGGAGTTCCCTGAGGGCTAGGACAGAGAGATGACTCTCAAAAATAAAGGAGTGCTGCGACCAAGGAGTTTAGCCAAGAATAGAACCCTGAATAGGCACTGTGGAGACCCCTGGGGTAGAAGATACAGAGAGGGAGTGTGGTTAGGGAAGGAGGAAACGTGGGAAAATATCGGGAGGCCGCAGGGAGGAAAGACAAAAGGAATTAATTCATTAATTCCGCAAATACTTATGGAGCATCTCTTAAGTGTGGAGCTCTCTTGGGAGACAATAAAGGAGAGAGTATGCCATCATAGACTAAACCAGTCAAGCTACAGATAGAATGTGTCTATGTGAAACAACTAGAGAACGCCGTCAAAGCAAAAAGAATTTCAGAGGAAAGGAGCGGGGTGTAGAAGAAAAAATACCAGTCTTGGGGTCTGAAGATTTATGTTCGAACCCTTGTTCCGTCACTTTGCCTATTCAAACATTCTCTGAGCTACGAGGGACATCAGAAAGCATCTTGTCAAACTCATTTTCTGCCCTTGTGACTTTGGGCAGTCAGTTCAACTTAATTCAAATCAAATATTTATCTGGCACCTACTATGTGTGGGTACTTTTCCCTTCCGAGCCTCAGTTTCTTCATCTGTAAAATGAGGGGAGTAGACTGGAGAATCTCTGAGATCCTTTCTAGCTTTAATATTCTATGATTCATATTGCTTGCCTTCTCAGTGGGTGGGGGAGGGGCTGGAGAGAATTTAGAACTCAAAATCGAAAAAAAAAAGTGTTAAAAATAAATAAGAAATCAATTCATGATTCAGAGTGGGACCTGGGAAAAAAGAGGACAAGAGATCAGGGCTCAGAGCAGGGTTCTTTACTTGGGGTCTATGATATGGTTTAAAAAAAAAAACCTTTCACAGCCACATTGTACAACGACTAACTCTGACAGACTTAGCCCTTCTCAGCAATGCAAGGATCTAAGACGTCTCCAAAAGTCTCAGGATGGAAAATGCTATCCACATCCAGAGAAAGAACTATGGAGTTGGAATTCAGATCGAAGTGTACTATTTGCTATTTTTTTCTTCTGTTTTGTTTCCTCTGTCTTATGATTCCTTCTATTGGTTCTAATTCTTCCTCACAGCATCACTAATGTGAAAATATGTTTAATAGGAATGTATATGTATAGCTTACATGAGATTGTGCACTGTCTTGGGGAGGGAGGTGGGGAGGGAAAGGGAGGAAAATTTAAAACTCAAAAGCTTATGAAAGTGATTGTTGATAAATCAAAATTAATTAATTAAAAAAACTTTCAATAACTATTAATATAATTGGTTTCCTTAGTAATACTATGCATTTTATTTTATACATTTAAAAACATTATTCAGAGAAGGGGTCCTTAAGTTTCACTAGACTGTCAAAGGGATCCATGACCCCCAAGAAAAGGGAAGAACCCTCATCTAGAGAAATGCTGAAGATTGGAGGGGCCTGGGAAAAAAAAGTTAGGGAATGTGACTGAAAAAACTCCCCAAATGGAGAGTGATGCTATGGTAGTCCAAAGACCACTTCAGCTCCCTAGGGTTTGCTCCCTTGACCAGGAAGAGGTTAACATACTTGGCACGGGACTCAAAAAGAATAACCCTGACTGCATTATTAAGGATCCATGAGTTCCCTTGGTGGCCACTGCTAGACAAGCCTCCTCTCTGTCTCTGTTCCCCTCCCTTCCCTGCGGAAGGGTCAGTGAATAGGCAGGCACAGACAGGACCCTTCGAGGGCCAATGAGAAGAGCTCTCTCTGAAATGGGTTTTAAAGAGGCTCGATGCCAAGTTGAGGGGGTAGAATTGTGGGGAGGAAGAAAGGAGACGGAAGAATCTGGGGCTTATGGCACCAGTCTGCCAGTCAATCGATATTCCTCAAACGCCTGCTGTCTCCAGCTAACTCCACTAGGCCTAGATGGTGTGTGTGTACCCGAACAGGTCTGGTGGGGAGGGCAAGACAGTCTGCTCATGTGTGTACACAAGTGTGTACGTGGGGGGGTGTGTCTATGTACACCAGGACGGTTTGTTTTTGGTTAAACAGCACGTTCCCATTTCCCCAGCCAGATCCAGGGCTCCCTGGAGTCGGGGTTCTATTAATTGTTCTGTCTGTCCACACCCCCGAAACACACACACACACACAACTCCAGGAGACTAGAAACTAATTATGTGCTATTAAATAATTCCCTCCCTCCCGCCTAGTACATGCCTATGCAGCCCCTATTCCTTTCTGCAACCAAGTGGTCACTAATCCAAGGACAGAATAGGTCAAGAATTTCAAAATCTCATAAAGTCTAGGCAGTGAGCACCTCTTCCTAGGGCCTGCCACCATCTCCATGGAAGGGCCGGGTTGTCCAAAGGTTAGTGTTACAGCTTTGGCTTCTTAGTATTCTGTGGAGAGCCAATAATCAGAGAGGTCTAACAGTTCCATCCTTCCTGGAGAAGGTGGAGCCTCTGCCACAACATCAACCTAGCCCTGAAATACCTTTCACAGTGCTCTGGGTCGGGCCAACAGAGCTTTCCTCTAAGATGACTGGGAAAGGAAAGTCATCTCATCTCTTCTCAGATCCAACAGGGCACACATACCAAAAGCACTGATTTTGGAGTCAGGGGACCTGGGCTGAAATCCCAGCTCTGATATTCACTAACTATATGACCTCGGGCTTTAGTTTCCTTATCTATAAAATGAGAGGATGGGGCTAGCAAGCGTCAGTCTTTCCAGCTCTAAATTCTATGACCCTACAGGCAAACGGAGAGTTGACTTCTCACTCCCCAGCACTCTGAGAAGAGCTAACTTGAGAGCTAGGAAGACAAGAGGGCGGGAATAGGCAAGATGGCCTCTGCCCAGCCAGGGTGGCCCACTGACCTTAAAGGTATATTTTCGGCTGATGTTATCCGAGGGCTGCACAGCCCCTATCCGGAAGCTCAGGAGTGGGATGCTTCCCAAGATACTCTCCTCCTTCTCGTCTGTAGGAGAAAGAATGATTGGGACAGGGAGGTGAGGCAGGGTTGGGGAGAGGGCCCCCCTGGCAGGGGCCTCAGCTACTTTGTATGCCCTTGGGCCCCTGGCTAGTAGCAAGGACTCTAGTTCCAAGTCACTCCCCTTCATTGCCTCCCACCTCCCAGCTTCCAGCATGGCCTCTTGGCTCTTTCTCTCATCCCACTGGGGGTCCAGTTCACAATGCCGGCTCACAGAGGAGCCCTTTGGATTAGACAGTCCAGACCCCAGCTGCTAGCCAGAGGTAAGTCTGGATAAGCCAAATGGGGGCAGGGTAGGGAAAAGCAGGGCCAGGCCCACTGTAGTAAACACAGTTGGCATAACTCTTCCCCAGCATTTGTGGCCCTAGGTTATTATTATTTTTTTAAAATTGGGTCCCTCTATGTGTTGTTGGCTACTGGTCAAAAGGCTTTGAGCCTTTACTATATAAAGATTGATCTATCGCGAATTAGAAATCTTCAGGCTGTGGAAAGAGGCATATTCTTAGGTTAAAAACCCATACATTGATAAAAGGCCATACTAAAAGAAAAGCATAGTAGCCCTCTGACTAGAGTGCCTTACTCAATTACTCAGGCGGCCTCTCCATTGTCCACCACAGCCCTTTCCCTTCCTACCACTTTCCTGTTTTATCCTCGGGGTTGGAAAGACTTCCAGCCAATTTTAATTTCAAGCTCCAGGGTAAAAAACCAAAACACCTTTTAAGGGTTAGAGTTGCCTCTAGCCCAGGGGCTTGTCTTATTTTTATTCCTGTCCTTTACCTCACAAAGCAATTGATCTAAACCTCTCTCTGCACCTCCCTTTTCTAGGTCTCCAAGTCCCTTCCAACTCTAGCATCCTAAATTTTAGAAGGCTTTAGCTGTGGCCATATTAGCTGTGACCTCAGGGACTAGTTATCAGGAGGGAGATTAGCTGCACCTTTTATGTCAGTCTCCTCTGGAAGTGTGGATAGGAGTGTTCACAGAGCATTCCCTAAAGGCAGGATTCTACCAAATACCTCAGTTCCCTTTCCCTTTGGAGACTTTCTTGGGTTCCCCATTGCCTGCCACCTGGGATTATGCTCTTGCAAACCATTCACATCTTAAACCCTGCACCTCCCCAAGACAGATCCCACCTACCATCTTGCACTTCACCCTAATTTCACCCCACACTGAGCTGAAACCATAGTAGCCTGGGGTGTAAGGATACCTGGAAGAGGGTGGGGGGGGGAGTCATTGGGTACAGAGTTTGTTTGCCAAGGTTAATGATTCACTGGGCAGCTCCCAGGAGAACCCAGGAAAAATAGAAAGACAGGTGTCTGGCATCCCAAGGCCAGGAAATGGGAGGAAAAAATGGTCCTTCTGGCTGCAGAAAGGCTTTACTCTGGGTCTAACTCATGTCTACACCACATCCCCCCTGAATTTCACTACCCAGAGGCTGCTATTCCTTCATTTTGTTCCCTTCTTTGGGGGGGGAAGTATATAATGAAAATTTAAAAACAACCCAGTCACTGCTGGTGAGACACCTCAGAATTATCTGGGCAAAGGTGACTTTGGTCACTTGGGATGGTGGCAGGGTTCAAACCAAGCTCTCTAACAAACTGACTGCCCAAGGTCATCGGACACAGATCCCATGTAAAGCTGTGCTCCTCGAGGGTCTACAGCAGGGTTTGGGAACCTGCAGCCTTGAGGCCACATGTGGTTCTCTAGGTCCTTGAGTGCGGCCCTTTGACTGAATCCAAACTTCACAGAACCGATCCCCTTAATACAAAGATTTGTTCTATTAAACTTGGACTCAGTCCAAAGGCCGCACCCAAGGATCTAGAGGGCCACATGTGGCCTTGAGGCTACAGGTTCCCCACCTCTGCTCTAGATCTAGTCTATTACTGACAATTAAATTACACATTTTAAAATAAAATAATACATTTGGTATTATTCTACACACATATATATTTATATATGTCTATATAAACTACATGTAATACAAAATAAAATTCTACATTTTTATATGCATATTTTGTTCTGAATGACCACTTCCTAAACAAAGTATCCATATAAGTCTACTGAAATGGTACTAATGATAATCGATATAAGTTCTGATTGATGGCAAGACTTTAGAGTCTAGATTTTCATTTTCCCTCTCCAGTTAATTTAATGTTATGTTTTCATTCTAGTTTAGGCAAAGGGTCAAAGTTTCACAGGTCTCAGGAAAGAGGAATTACTTCCTATGTTAAAGGCACATTTGTTCTTCCACTCTTCCCCCCCTTTCCCCTGTCATTTCCTGCTTGTAAATTTAAAATATGAAAATTTACAATGATTGCATTATATTTATCTAAATATCTTCATTTGGGGGGGACACAATACCCCTCCTTTGGGGGGAACTAAAAACAAAATGTAACCACGTGTATAGAGAGTAACTTCCCTTTCAGACAGCCTCCCACAAACTATGTAAATATCTTGTACGTGCCCAGTAATTTTCATTAGAATGTGAGCTCCTCCAGGGCAGAGACTGGTTTCTGGTTTGGTTCTGCCTTTGTATGCCCAGTACTTAGCACAAAATCTGGCACACAGTCGATGCATGCTAATAAATGTTTGTTGACTGATTCCTGCGTTGTTAGTGATGCTCACCCACACTCCAATTTGTATAATTTTTGGATTTGTTCACCTGTGTACGAGTTGTACCCCCCGCCCCTCCCTTCCCAAATGTAAGCTCCCTGAGGACAAGAATTGTCTCATTTGGGGTTTTATATCCACAGCACAGTGCCTTGCCCATAACAGTCTCTTAAATAAAATCAGTCGAATTCAACTGAATAGTATTGCTGTGGGGAGCTTTGATAACTAAGTGCCCAGTCTCCAGAGTTGGCAAGATGCTGTACTTTCTCTGGAAGGAAGGGAAAAGGAGGGCAGGACCTTCTGCAAATCTATACCTGAGGTGTCTCCAGCTCTGCTCTGAAGCCTGACCACAGAACCTTCCATTCGTATCAACTCATCTTCCTTCTTTCTTCTGCTGCCCCACACCCTGTATCTTGTCCCAATGCTGCCCTCACTTCCCAATGATGCCCTACATCATCCCTGAACCAGTCAACAAGCATTTATTAAGTGCCTACTCTGTGCGTGGCACGGTTCTTTCATTGTCGTTGTTATTGTTGTTTGTCTTCCACTTTTGAAGAGGACCAATGACATCACGGGATGGTGTCTGGACTTGGATTTAAGTGAGGCACAAAGTATCCTCAGCCTCACTCTCTCTTCCACAGTCATCAAAGTCCAGTGGCAGGCTAAAAGGCAAAGTGACTGGCGATGGCCCGGGATGCAGTAGATGACCCTGGTGTCTTTAAAGACTGAATCAGACTCTATGTGTATGTGTGTGTGCGTGCGTGTGTGTGTGTGTGTGTGTGTGTGTGTGTGTGTGTGGTGTGTGGGTGGGTGGGTGTGGGTGTTCAGCTCAGCTCAGAAGATGGGGCAGGGCAGAGGACACATGGGAGGTCAGCCTGGGGCTATCCCTTCTCTGGCGGAGGGGGGCAGGGAGGAGACAAACTCACCTTTGTAGTAGAAGAGGCATCGATCCACCAGGACAAACCAGCGTTTATTCCATTGTTTCACCCCAGAACTGGCCTGAAGGACACATGGAGAAACAGATGACTGTCAACATGGTACAGCGGAGAGAACAGTGAGGGAAGAGGTCCTAGACTTCTAGAGGCCTAGGACCCTAGAACACAAGGCCTGGGTTCTAGAGTCTGTTCTGAAGCTAACATGCTATGGGATCACTGGGGAAAACCACCCCCTCTCAAGTCACTCAGAGGATAAATCAGAAAGCAGATAGCTACATCAGTCAGTCAATAAACATTTATTAACTGTCTAGTACAAGCCAAGCACTGGAGATACAAATAAAGCTCTGAAGCAGCTCATAGTCCAACAGGGGAGACCACAAGCAAACACTACCTACAAACGAATTGTTTACGAGATAAATTCCCCACAGAGGGAAGGCACTAGAATTAAAGGGATCTTTTTGTAGACGATGGGACTTCTGCTTTATCTAGTACTTGAATGAAGCAAGAGAAGCCAGGAGGCCAAGAAGAGGAAGGAGAGCAGTCCAGGCAGGGGGCAAATATTTGCCTGGAGGCTGGGGATGGAGTGCCTTGTTGGAGGAATAGCAAGAAGGCTGGTATCACTGTCCGTGGGAGGGAATGAGAACACCAAATGAAGCAGTACAGAGGGAGATGAAGACGGGGCCCAGGACAGAACCCTGGGGCCACCCCTCAGTCTCTTCAGAGGTCCAAGGAGGGTAGAATGGTGTGCCAGGGAGCACTGAGGAAAGGCACCTGTTTGAAGAGCCAGCCACTCTTTGTGACAGCCGCATTGGGGTTTCGCTTCATGGAGTTGGAACGTTTACCAAAGGCTATAGCTTTGCGGGAAGCACGAGGTGCCTGGGGAGGAAGATACAGAGAAGAACTCGACTTTACTCACCACATCTCCTACCTCCTTGCCATGTCTTCCAAGATGGCTGCTTCTGCTTGGAGGTGCTGTATCCTTTAGCTTTTTCCCTTCATCTCTCCCTCCCTCCCTCTCCCTCTCCTCCCCCCTCTTTCTCTTCCCCTCTCCCTTTTTCCCTCTCTCCATCTCTTCCCATCCTCCACCCCCGGAGCCCTCACAGCATCCAGAGCCTAAGACTAGGAAGGAATCAAGAGATCTGGGCTCTGGTCTCAGCTCCACCACTAACCAGTTGTGTGACTTCGGACAAATCACTTAGCCTCTCTCCTTAAAAGCACAGAAAAGTTCTCTCTTGTGTACTTTGGGGGTGATCTGTGTTTCAGCTTTAATTATTTCGGTTGTTGAAGTCATAGGAACTGTCTGTACCTGTTTCATAGTTCCCTCTTAGTAGGAAAACACCTCAGATGGCAAGTGATTTGCATGGTAATATGGGCAGAACACTAACCTCCACCTCACCCCACCCCCATTTTGCCATCAGAAGAGTTTCTGATTGGTTGAAGAAGCCTGGAGAATGTGCTCAATCCTAGGGGCCCTGGTGGATGAATCCCGCCCTCTACTACCTTCATCCCACTCCCACCCCAAAATAAGCCTGGGGGCATTCTGTAAGGAAAGATACCATTCTTGTCTCTGGGCCAGGAGGGAGCAGATGCTCAAGGCAGAGACAATCCTAATGAGCCATGCTCCACCAGGAACTGAACATGTAGGTAGACAGAATCACTAAAGAAATGAGGGCCCACCTGGGCCAGGACCAGAGAGACTTTTAAAATTCGCATTTCCAATGACCTTATCCTAGTAGGCTATTTCTGAATTTATACATTTTCTTTTCTGTAAAGAAGCCTTAGAAAAATATAGTCTTGTGGTGTGTGGAGAGTGTAGCAGCTGGTGGAGGAAGGGAGAGTGGGAGTGCATGCCTGAGCCAGGTATTAAGGGATGGGGGCAACGGCAAAAGGGGATGGAACAAGGTAGGTAGGACCCAAGAATCCACAAAGGATCAAGATCAAGAAAGGCTCAGGAAGTCTGGTGTCTAAGGTCGGGATTAGAGATCAAGGCATATTTCAAAAATAGCAAAGGAGAGGATCACAGAGCACGAACGCAAAGATTTCTTGGATTGATTTAAATGACACAATGGTCTTTCAGTGAACAGAGCACTGACTTGGGCATATCAAACTTGGAGTCACAAGATCTGAATTTGAATCCAATATGTGGCCTAGATAAGTTACCTTAACCTCCCTGGGTCTCAGTTTCCTTATCTGTAAAGTGAGACAGTTGAATTAAATGGCATCTAAGGTCCCATCCAGTTCTGGATACTCTGATCCTACAAGATACTGGGATCCCTGTGAAGCCCAATGGAGTGCAAAGCCCTGGACTGAAAACTTTATCAGGCCTAGTTTTCTCATCCTTAAAATGGAGATAAGTATACCTGTGATACTTACCTCACAGGGTTATTGTGAAGATTAAAGGAAATAACAGAAAAAAGTGCTTAGAATTTCTTTTCTTTTTAAATTACACAATATTCAGAACTTTCAGGGATTTTAGAACACTGGAAGGAGTTCTCAGGTGAAGGAGGTAGAAGAGAGCGCCCTCTGAATCCTTCTGATAGCTCAGGACTGGGGTTAACTGTCTAGTTAGGTTGACTAGTTTCCTAGGCTTAACCAGAGTCTCCCCAGACTCTGACTGGGACTCTTGGGAGAAAGACTTACCCTGACATTGGGCCGCTCTGGGGGGACCTCGGACACCATGTTGTTGTTATTGGCTGTGCCACTGGAGGTGGTTGTCGGGCGCTTTCCACCAGTTTTACTGGACATGTCCGAGGCAGATCTGAGCCCCAAGTTAGACAGAAAGAGAAGAGGGAAACTGTTATGGTTAAGAAGGAGCCACTTTCCCTGCTTCTTCCTTTTTCTATCTCCCTGTCTTCTAATTCCTGGTCAGGGCCAGCATCAGTAGAAAACTGTACTTTGAACCTCCCCCCACTTCTTTGCAGAGGTAGGGAGTTATGGGTATAGAACACTGTATGTGATATCCCCCGAAACTGTATTAGTTGGTTAGTTTTTCCCCTCTTTTTCACACTTTAGCCTCTGTTATAAGGCCAGGTGCTCAGGGAGGGAAAAAGAATATCGGGAAATGTAGGTGAATAAAAACAAAAGATATCAACAAAATGTTACCTTTTACAAAATCAAAGTAAAATCAGTGCTTCCTGATGATCAAGAAATCATCTCATTCTGGGGAAGACTACTTTCCAGTTATCCTCAGAATTCTATTCTTTCATTTTCTGAAAAATTAGCAGCAGCTCCTATTGGCTCAGCCCCCACAAGGTGCTTCAGAGCATGCAAAGATGCTCCAAAAACTTCCCCTCCTTTCTCCCCATCTAGTCTAAAAAGTCTGTGTAGATAATGAGAACTGTGTCTTTTAATTGTCTATGATTTGTACGTGATTTTCCTGTTTGAGTTCTTAATTTGGGGAGCCAAAGTCAAAGGTGGGAGGGAATAATGAGGACTCAGTTCTCGTTATTAGGACTATTGTTTGTACTTTGTTCTTGAAGAGGACCATGACATCAGGGAACTGAATTTAAGTGAGGCAGGGCTGTGCAAAGTCACCTGCCTCACTCTCTCCTCCGGAGCCATCTGGGTCCAGTGAAGAGATAAAGGACAGCTGGAGGTGGTCCTCCATTATTAGGACAATAGAGCTCCAAAAGAGCTCCCCATTCACTCCATGCCTGATCTTAGCCTTGATCACTTACTGAAGAAGTGATCCCTCTCTGATTACACATTGAACCCCTTTCTGGTCACTAAGACCCACATCAGACCTCCCTCTAAGTCCATACCATCAGAACTAAATCCAATGGATACATTCAGCAAAATTTTACTTAACCAACATTAATTGCCATCGTCTGTTGACTTCCATGCTCAGGACTGAGGGGGATGTCATGGTAAGTAAGGCATGGGGCTTACACTCTGGTGAACTGGCCTGATCTTTGGAAGTTCTGGGGAAAGTGGTAGAAGGTGTTACACTGGAGATGTTCCCCAACACTCCCGTATTTAGGAATGCCCTAAATACCTGTCTTCCCTTCCCCATCTGATGCACAGACAACAGATATTAAAGGAAGAAGGTGCAGATGTGAGCAATAGCCTAACAGGTAGCAGAACAGAGGGCAAGCTTACTTTTTCAAGTCAAATCTTTTGTTTTCTTCCGGGATCTGGCCGGTCACTGGGTGCAGAAATGTGTTCCGTCTTTCATTGTGGCTGTAGGAGGAAGAGAGATAGACAAATGAAGGTGAGAGGAGTAGGAAGAAAGGGTAAATAACATCCAGGAAAATACAGATGGTAGAACACAAGTTTGGGGACTGGTTAGGAGGCCAAGAGCTTCCTCCCCCCTTCCTCAACTGAGAGGCAGTATGGCACAATGGATAGATCACTGGATCTGCAGTCAGGAAGACTTAGGTTCAAATCCTCAGACACTTAACTTGCTTTGTGACCCTGGGCAAGTCATTTAACCATTCTGTGCCTCAATTTTCTCATCTAAAATAAAAAGTTTGGACTTATATATTTCTTAGTCCTTTCCAGCTCTAAATCTATGATCCTATAAACTCCCGATGGAGTGAGCAGGTAAGGTGGAGTCTGAATGAGACCCCGAGCACCTCCAGTCCTAGGAACTCTTCTTCCTGACCCAGAACTCAGGGGAGTTTCCCTATGTCAGTGTTGGCCTTTGACAGATACCCCTGATGATAGGACTAAAACAGCCATACTTGACCCCTTCACTATTACCCAGGAAATGTAGTGGGGAGGAGAACCGAATTGTTTCCAAGAGCCAACCTAAAACAAAGTAAGGTTACAGATGGAGCTGAATGTCAGGATATGAGTCTTCTGTTTCCAGGGACGATTCTTGCCAACGTGGTGCCTTGAACCCAGGAAGCACCCAATAAGCATCTGAGGAATGAATAAACAAACTTGTGCTCTCGGCAACTCCATCATGCCTCAGTCTCCCCTCTTTAAATGGGGTAGGGAGTCATCTAATTCCCCTTTTGCTACTGAGCAAGGACTCACTCATACCCCAAATCCAAACCTCATTACAAAAAAGAAAAGAAAATTCTCCCTGACCAAGGACTGCTCAACGAGGCCTGAAAGCCTGGGAATTGTCAAGCCCTGGGGTAGAGTGACGGCATAACAGACAGATCTAATTAAGGGATGCTGTGGATAGGGAGGCAATAGGGGTGTTGGGGGGAAAGGCTGCCAGGAAGGAGACAGGAGAGGTGATTAACTAGGCACTGGGTCTTTGCAGAGACAGATGGGATGGCAACATCGCAGTTGCTATTCTGGAAGGCCCCTGTCTGGGCTCCCCTGACCAAGTAAATGTCATAAACGGATGTGCCTGAAAGTGAAGTACTGCTGGGTACCAGGTAAAGGTGGGGGGAAGAAAGGTAAGGACATTCATTCAGAGATGAGGGCTTGGGCCATCCTGTGTAATGTATGCCTCTGAGTAGCCTAGACAGACAGGGCCAGATCCACTCCACTCTGGCATAGGGAGATGGTCTGGCGTGGCTGATCAGTGGACTTTTGGTCCCACTCCCCTCCTATTATGCCTCTCTCCCTCTCCCCGTGGAAATGTGCTCACTGTTTTACTTAACAAGCTATAGGGCAAGCAATGGGAGATGGCTAAACAAAATGTGATACATAAACCTAATGCAATATTACTGTGCTGTAAGAAATGACAAATATGGTGATACAGAGGATGATGGGAAGAGATATGAGCTCACATAAAGTGAAGTCAGCAGAACCAGGAAAACCATATACACAATGGTTACTATTTTGCTGTTCAGTTATGCCCAACTCTCCATGACCCCATTTGGGGTTTTCTTGGCCAAGATACTGGAGTGGTTTGCCATTTCTTTTTCCATGTCATTTTACAGATGGGGAAACTGAGGCAAGCAGGGTGACTTATCCAGGGTCATACAGCTAGTGAGTGTCTGAGGCCAGATTTGAACTCAGCAAGATGAGTCTTCCTGACTCCAAGCCCAGCACTCTACCCACTGAGCCACTCAGCTGCCCATAGACAATGACTACAACACATAAATGGAAAGAAAAACAATTACAAAACAAAAATATTATGAAATTATAAGGACCAAGCTCTGGTGCCAAAGAAAGCAGATGAAAAGGCACCTGCTGGGGGATTCCTTGCAGAGGTGGGGGACGATGGGTATGGAACACTACACTTAACACTGGCCATTTCCCAGTATGCTAGTTTTACTGAACTGTTTTTTCCCTCTTTTTTTTTTTATTGCTAAGGGATATCTCTCTGTGAGGAGAAAGGAGCACATTTGGAAATGTAGGTAAAAACAAAAACTATTAATAAAAATTATTATTTTTTAAAAGCTATGTGCCAATTAGCACCAGAAGAGAGCATGGTCACAGGAACATAGATTTATAGTTGAAAGAGACCTCAAAGGCCAAGTACCCAAGTAGACCAAGTCCCTCTTTTTACTGATGAGGAAACTGAGATCTAGAGAGTTTAAGACCCAAGGTCACCCAGGTAGAATGCGCTAAAGACATTAAACTCAGGTCGTCCGTTAAATCATTTCCAGCTTTGGTGCCTTCATCTCCAAAGAAGGTGACGTATGTTAAGGAGTCCAAGAATAGCATCCTAACTCGGCCAAGATCCCACCCATCCCATCTCAACCTCATAGACCTCAGTTTAGCTGGCAAGACAGGTGAGTTAATACAAACTAGCTGAGTTCTGAAAGCCCTCAATGGGCCCTGGGTCATCTGTTATTCTTACTCCAATTCACCTATCTTTAAGGAGCCAGAGCTGGGCCCAACTTCAAAAACAGAAAGGTGAGTAAGGGGGAGGGAGGGTGTTGGCCTGGATCAAAGAATTCAGAAGAAATATAGGAATTCTCTGAGGTGATAACCATAACCAGCCTGGCCTCACTGATCAATAAGGAAACCTAATTGACTTCCCAGTCCAAATTGGAGAAATTGGCAACCAGGAGGCCGGACCTGGCCAACACCCACTGCGATGGATACAGGGTGTGGCCTCGTGGTCTAGAGTTCATTTTGGGGGTCCCCTATTCCTCAACCCCTCCCCTCCTGTATCCAGCAAGGGGTCTTTCCCAAATTCTATCAACATGGAGTACCCTATAGCCTAAGCTGTCTAAACATCTGCAGGCATCCTCTGTCCCAAGAATCACTCCCCTGAAAAACTTCTCCTTATTCCCCCCACCCCCACCTCCCAAAAGGAGAGTTCATGATAGCAGTGGCTCTCTGGAAGCCAAGCTTTATATCCTTGCAGCACAAAAGAGGAACTTAGGGCCAGGCTCCTCTGTCCCCGAGTTATCCCCCAGCCTCTCCTGCTCTGCATATTCCCTATGGGAACACACACACACACACACACACACACACACACACACACACACACATATACACAATCTCTCCTCCATTCTTCCAGAGCACTTCAGGGAAGGGCAATTCTCTTCCTACCCCTGACTTTCCCACCTACCAACTTTCCCAAGTTATATCCTCTCCCCTGTCCCAGCTACACCAGTTCTAGATGAAGTTTCTCCTTCACAAACACTGCAATGCAGCAACCATTGACCTAACTGCTATTCTCTTCCTCCCTTCAGCCCATACAGGTCCCCCCACTTCCCTTTCTTAGGGCCCAAATGGGCTGGGTGGCCACCTGGGGTCAGCCCAGCCCCCTTCAGCTTTCCTCATCTCTGGACCTCCCTCACGCAAAGTACAAGGAGGGGAATAAGGCAAGCCCTACCTGACTCTTCGATCAGCCCGAAACTTCAACATCTTCCTGGGCAGCTCTGTACCCAAGCCGGCAATCTTAATTTCACTGGCCCCCTGAGCCTAACATCCCTCCAGGAGGTAAGTCCTCAGGCCACACTCCCTGGTCCACGGTCACATCCCAGGGCCACGGCAGGGCCACATGGATTCTGCTGATCACATCCCACCTTCCCAGCTCCCACCTCTTGTTGGGGAGCAGGGTGGAGAAAAGGGGTGCCCAAGGGTATTCTATTGGGCCTGCTGGTTTTTCAGCATTCTGCTTAAATGCCTGAAGGTTGGAGGCATGCAGGAGGCACACCAAGAGAAAAGAGGATATAACCATCCCAGTTCAAGTCCCCAAGGAAAAAAATGCTGAATTAGACACACACACACACACACACACACACACACACACACACACACACACAGAGCAGGTGTACAACTTCCAGGCGGCTGGACCTCGATGAGCTAATGACACAGAGAGAGGCAGGAGGGCGGTGGGGATAGAAGCTGCATTTCAGTCTGCATGGCAGAAACTCCTGCCAGCTCTTTGAACTGCAAGAAGCAGACGTCCTCTCCACCTCTTCCACCTTAGCCAGCCCGTGACGCCCGTCAGGCAGAAAAACCGCTCCTCCAATGTCTGGGGAGGAGCCTGGAGCTACAGGGGTTAAAGGAACTCTGGGTTCATTTGCTGCTGCCGCTGTTCTGCCTGCACCCGCCCAGAGAGATAGGATTGATTGAATAAATCTCCCCCCTCTCCCCCTTAGTCTGCCCAGTCCTTCTATGGCAACAGGAGCTTAATTAATGAAGACGCGGCTGTAATCATCTCCTCGATGACACGTTCCCTTTGGAAACTACACCAGGTTGCTCTTCCCAAGACTTGATGATTATAGAACTAATGACAGGCAATACCACCAGTGTTCCAGTCCGGGACTAGGGATGGTGGAGGTTAGGAGCTGGTGGAGGGGACCCTGGCTGTGGCTTCAGAGAATATGGAAAAGAAGGGTCCTCCGGGAGCGCACAGGGAAGAGGGCAGCAAAAGGGAGATGGGAGGGAGATGGCCTAGTGTTTATTCTTGAAAATCTTCCCAGATGCAAGATGATAAGTTCCAGCCGGTGACTGAAATCTACATAGAAGCAGGCAAGTTCATCCACAATCCTTTATTTCCCTGAGAATGGTTCAATGTCCGCCTCATTTGCTTGGTATTCCCCAGGTCCTTGGGACAAAAGCCCTTCTGAATCTATCTTTCGCCCTGACTCCAGATAGGACTGAGCCCTACCCTACCCTGGTTCCAAATATCTCACTGTTTCTTCATGCTCACAGGTGGGGCTCACAATGTCAGCAAGTTCTTGCTGATGCCCAATTTAAATCCATATTGACTCAATGTCAGCCCATCCTGCTGCTCAGGGGTGATGAACAACAGAAGCTCCTGCTAGCTCTTTTTTTTCCCCACAGCACCAGCATCTATTGACATCACA